CCCTGTAAGTTTCATATCTCAGCTTCATTCTTTCTCTTCTGCAGATAGGTGATTGGTTCACCATAACTCTAGACAGCATGAATACCTATTTTCATGTCACCATCAAGCATGCTCACAGGTGCTTCCTCTGCTTCAAGGTGAGGAATTGACTTTATTGATTCCGTATTTGGGACCACACTATCATCCTCTTCTTATACTTAGATTACTGGATGGTTGTAATCAGTTCTCAATATCAACTTTTTCAAGATGTTGCAACTGTTTGTGATCTCTTTCAAGATCTTGTCATCACTGTCAACACATTCAAATCTGTCTTTGTTCCATCTATCCTTTATCGGGGCCACATTCAACTCCATTCAGCAGCACCTTACATACAGGAGACTCAAGTTTGAACTCTGAGCTTGGGATATAGAAGTGCTTCAGAGTTACATTGTACTCATGACCTCAGTAACTCCCTTCACTTGATTGGGTACCCTTCTGATCCTGGTTTCTCTGTGCCTTCACCCTCATGTTAATCCACCTTTTGAAGTGACAGCAGTACTGATATCTGTTCTTCGGTCCGCCTTCTTGTTGACAGCCAGAGACCACATATGTGTAAGGCATGCCATTCCAGCAATTTCCAGTTAACTGCCACTAGCTCTCTTGGTTAAGGTGGAAGAGATAGCACAATATGAGCTTTTGTCTCTTGGGACAGCTTTTCCAGCCCAAAAGCGTCATTTGGATATGTTAGTTGGGAGAGTTTGAGGAGTGGTCTTTTTTTAGGGAAGGACTTGTGCATTGAGTGGAGGTTTGCTGGTTTGCTTGGTAGGATTCTATTGTTTTGGTGTGAATAGCTTCAAATCACCTTCAGGTCATCTGCCTGAGCAGCTAGTCTCAGGAGGGAAGAGTATCAGCATAAAAAGTAGATCACAAAAAGTAGGTCAAAGGCTGCTTGGTAGAGGAACCATTTGCTACTAACTCTCTTGGCTGAGGGAGGAGCTAAGTGCTACTAGCTCTCTATGTAATTTCATCACCAGTTCCTCTAGCTTGACATACAGGAGCAAGGTGCGTAGGGTGAGATGGACAGGTGGGACAAACAGCAGTGCTTGTGTGGGTGTTTTTGAAGGAGGCCCAGATTTCTGTTTCATTCTTGACTTAATTTTGCTAGAAGGAATGTTGAGAAAACTCCCACCTGCAATAGTTGAACTGGATAGCCTGTGTGGTCTCCAACTCTGATTCTGTGAACCTTAACTCAATATCGGTGAGCATGTCCACCTCACTTCTGGGTTGGGGGGCATTGCAAAGCTGTGAAACATGATGACGAGAGGAAGGTGGTCCAGCATCGAATACAAGGATCACATCAACCTCCTCAAACTCTTGGATGTGTTCAAGAAGTTCAAGTGCTTCAAGATGGTGCTGATGGGCAAAGTTGTATAGGTGATCTCTGAAAACTCAAGCATGGAACATGTATGGCCATGTTCCATTCTTCTGGAACATGGCCATACAGCCCGGAAAACACAACAACCCAACTCAAGAGTAATCTTGTACATAAGCAAGGAGGTACTAAAATTCACACTCTGCCCACCTCACCCTCAAATTTTGGACTTGGCGCATAGCTATGCACAATGTATTTCTGATAGCTATGCATCTTCCCAGGGAAGAGAATATTTTAGTATAGGGGTCCTCAAACTTTCTAAACAGAGGGCCAGGTCACAGTCCCTCAAACTGTTGGAGGGCCGGATTATAATTTGAAAAAAATAAATAAATTCCTATGCACACTGCACATACCTTATTTGTAGCACAAAAACACTTGAAAACAATACAATAATTAAAATGAAGAACATTTTTAACAAATATAAACATTAGTATTTCAATGGGAAGTGTGGGCCTGCTTTTGGCTGATGAGATAGGGTTGTTGTGTGCTTTCAAGTCGTTTCAGATTTAGATTGACCCTGAGCAAGGGCCGGGTAAATGACCTTGGAGGGCCATATCTGGCCCCCGGGCCTTAGTTTGAGGACCTCTGTTCTAGTACATTGGTTCTCAACTTGCGGTTCCCAGGTGTTTTGGCCTACAACTTCCACAAATCCCAGCCAGTTTACCAGCTGTTTTTGGAGTTGAAGAAATGAACAGGTCTATCACCGGGTAATCTCATGTCCTGAAAAGGGGAAGAAACTCTTCAGAGTGAAGCTGCCACAGAACAGTATCTTTGTCATCGACTGGATTTCCTTACGCTCTGTTGAGGGTCAAGTTCAACACTCTGATACCAAGACTCCCCTCTGACAACCTGGCTGATAACACCATAACCAGTCTGTTGCATCTGGTTCCACAGATTCTCATGAATCACAAGCCCTCCACAAAATGTTATGTATATAGATGGAAATTGTTCACTTAGTTCTTAGGAAAGTTTGCTGTTTAACCCCAGTCTACTTCGGTATCAAATGTTTTGGACTTTCTGGTTTCTCTTCTGGATAGAGGTCTTGCTTTGTCTTCAATTAATTGTTTCATTGTGGCTATTCTAGTACAACAGAAAGTTGTTTCTCAAATCCTCTTCTTAAAGCTTTCTCGTCAAATCTTCCTCCTGTTTCTTCACCTATGCCTGCTTGGTATCTTGAGCTTGTCCTCCCCCTGCTTTTGGAGACCTTTCAAGTCCATGATTTCATGCAATTGAGTCCTGTCCTGGAAAGAGCCTTTCTTGATGCAATCACATTTGCTGGATGGACAAGTGAGTTGTGCACCCTTAGAGGCAAATAACCCTGTATCCACTTTCATTGGATTAGAGGTTTTTTGAGCAGACATTTCTTTCCCCCCTAAAGGCATTTCTGCATTCCATTTAAATCAGGATATTGTGTTTTCAGTATTTTTTCAGGATCCCTCTTCCAATCTCAAAGATAAATTAACTATTTGAACCATTGAAGAGCTTGGCATTTTATGTTCAGAAAATTGTATCTCACAGAAAGCTCCCAGGACTCTCTTTGTGTTACTCTGGCTCAAAGTTGGCCTTATCTGTTTCATCACACAATGATAAAACTGGGTGGCATATGCTATTGGACTGGCATATCCGTCTATACCTGGAATGTTGTCCTCTTCCACCGAACGTACAGCTTTGGGAGGGACACACATGGAGTGGTGAGGGAGGAAGATGATACCCGCCTAACCAGCCAGATCAGTAAATCAACCCTGGCAATCAGTGGGATTACATGTCGCAGCCTGGACTGTCATATCACCTACTTGGTAGACAACCTTCTCAGAGTATTTGGGCACATTCTACCAGAGCCATACCTGTATCTGCTACTTCTGTTAGAGCTGTTCTGTTTTTATGTATGACTTGACACCCGCCTCCTAGGTTAGTAACTTGCTAGTCACCAACTTGTGTGACTCACAGAGATCATGATGAAGAAAAACAGGTTGTTTACCTGTAACTGGTTCTTTGAGTAGTCATTTGTAAAATCACACAGCCCCACCCATCCCCCCCCCCTTTTTATGCCCTGCTATCTCCAGTTTCCTTTGGCTGCTGTCATGTGTGGTCTGGAAACTCGGCATGCAGAGTGGGTGGGTTTGCCACTAGAATCATAACTCTGGAGATCTAGATGGTTCTAAGTGTGCTCAGCTCGTGCAGAATAACCATTTGTGTAAGCTCACAGATGATCAGTTGAAAAACCACACTTAAAGATAATCTGCCTGTCTCCTTTCACCCTTTTAATTGTTTTTATTTAATTCAATTTTATATGGACAAATTGCATCATTATGATGGGAATTGGAATAAATTTTGCTTAAACACGATGAAAACTCTCATAAATCAAAATGCTGATAACTCTCATAAACCAGGATATTAAGTATTTATCAGAATCTGGGCAGATGGATTGGGTGACATCATAACACAGTACATATACCAAAGGCAGTTTAATTATTCACAATATCCAGTTTACAGACCCAATTTTAAATATGTCAAATGCCCCACATCTATTCTTCAAAGTCTTTTGTCAGTTTTGAATGGGAGTTTCTGGGTAAAGTGGTTAAAACAAGTGGTATTGAATTATACTGGAGTTGTAAGCCACCTTGAGTCCCGTGAGAGGAAGGAAAAAAGGCGGGGTATAAATGATGTAAATAAATAAATAAAACAATGCATTTATGCAACATTTTTTACGGTTTTGAAAGCGGTATATAGTAGCGTAATAATAGAGACAAATGGAATGGACTGCTCACCCTTTTAGATTTTACGAGGTATTACATAATTATTGCTCTCTATGCAAAAAACTCCAGTAGCTGCTCTCTTGTGACATAGACTTTTGAAAACCAGAAATACTAGATGAGTTATTGAACAAGCAGTTACTCTTTTTGTGCTTTGTGTGTGTGAGCACACACATGTATTTTGTTTTACAAATGGAAGTTAATAGCTTTGTATAGATGTTGTGGAGATTGAAGTTTTTCATGAAAGAGTGCTTCTTAGATTTTTACCCTGAGACTGGAAGGTTGATAGAGCAGGCATTCCTTGGCATTCTAATGTGAATGTAAAATTTTGGGAGCAACATATACCTAATTGTAAGTTAACATATTAAAGTAAAATGAAGAAATTGGCTTACACGTGCATTATTCATATGGCAAACTTTCCTTGTCAATAATGATTTGATACATGGATGGGTTTCTATCGTAAGGTAGGAAATCTGAGTTAGCCCACCCCTAAGAAACCTTAGAAGGCTACCCAATGCAGAAATGTTCAAAAACTATTCCTTGCCCCAAAACACTCTGGTGGTGTGGAGACAATTTTCATCACATTTGTGCCCCATGTGAGAAATTTGGGGTATTATAATAGGAGTAGACCTGGGTCACATTCCAAAATGAAAATATGATGAAAATGACTTTTACCCTTCTATTATTCCCAAAGGCAATTTGGGACCAAAAAAACTTTTTGAGACAAAAGCCGACCCTTCAGGACTATAAAAACAATTTTAAAGAGTGCGTGTAGACTCCCTCCCTCTCATTGGATGTAAAATCTAATAGCTAATTGTTTCTTTCTTCTCTTTCAGGTTATATTTCACACTATGTGCTGATTGTCTGTACTTACAGAAGATATTTAAAACATTTTTTAAAACAAATTGATTCCAGTGGAATCTGCTTTAGATTTTGTCTTGTGAAGTAACACCTGAAGCAATGCCTGTACAAGCTCCACAATGGACGGATTTTCTCTCCTGTCCTATTTGCACACAAACGTTCGACGAAACAATCCGGAAGCCCATCAGCCTGGGCTGTGGCCACACTGTATGCAAGATGTGCCTGAACAAGCTCCACCGCAAGGCATGCCCCTTTGACCAGACCACTATTAATACAGATATTGAGCACCTTCCTGTGAATTCAGCTTTGCTGCAACTTGTGGGTGCCCAGGTAAGACTGCCTTGGCCTTGGCCTGTTGGCCTTTGGGGGCGGTGAGGGTGGGATAAATCCACTTTTCCAGTAAGCCTGTTTATTGTGGGATGAATAAGCTTATATTTCCAAAACCTTATGGAGGAAATGAACAAAGTTTTAAAATGACCAAATTTTTTTTGACATGAAGGCGTTAAAGTCAACATTCAATGCATTTTATTTATATATTTCTCAAATGATTGGTAAATTGAGTATATTGTGGAGAAACGCAGCTAAGGTGGAGACTTCTCTTTTGTTATTTTGATTTTAATATCAAATAACAGTTTGTGGTTTTTAAGAGAACAGTATGAAAGGCATATGAAGGTACACATTTTGTCCCAGAATTAGTTGAATGAGGAAGAAGATGTACATGCATGCTGGCCCTCCCCTCCCAATGTGTACATGCATGTGCACACATACATCACTTCATGAAAGGGTAGGAAGATGGAACCACTCCAGTCTGTAGAGGTGAAAGAGTCTCCTGTCCCTCAGAGATCTTTACTGAAGGCATGGTTTCTTCACTGTCCTAGGAGCTGTCATTTCAGATATCTCCCAGCAATCTCGATTGCTGTAGTGCTGATAACAGTAATATCAGAGCAGGCATTTTCTCTCTGATCCTCCTTTAGGATCATCCGGGCAGTAGTGTGTAGGGATGGTGTTGCATTGGAAGTGATTATGGTTGGTGTATCCCTTGTATATAAAACAACTTCATAAAAACATTGTTCACTTTTACAAACCATTTTTGGCTGATAATTACTGTTGAATCCAACAGGCTTCTTAAATAACACTGGATTTTAAAATTATTTCAGTTTAACATTTTACAAATTGATATTCCAAAACGAAAAGTGTAATATAAAAACTGTTGAGATATTAGTCCAACGATTAGTCCAACAATCTGCAAATGAATTCCTCTTTGGGCTCCCAGGGACCATATTAGTGATAAAGAGAAACCCTGGAGAAGACAGGATTTCAAGTAATATCTTAAGCAAATTTTAGGATTATAGTGAGCAAAGCAAGGGTTGCATTGTACCTCCAACAGCCCCATAGAATTTATTTTCTCCTCAGTGAAACCTTTCCTGGAGAAATCAGCAGTTGACCTGTCTAAGATTTTTAAAAAAAATGAACCTAGAAAGAGCCAGCCTACTTAGCACCATGCCATTGCTGTGTTTACTCAGGGTGGAGTGGCAGTCCCTCCTGGTTATTCTTTAGATGTGGAGATGGAGTCACTGACTAAACAGTGTAATAATTGTAGCAACCACACTGGCAAACACACATTTTGGTGCCTCAAATGTTAGCCCTGTTTCAAGGTATATTTGACCTACTGATTCCAAAAATAGCACCGTTTTTCCCCTATTGGCTCTAGTTTTTGAGATGCAAAACATATGCACTCTACCTGTCACAATCTGCTCACCCATAGAAAAACATGATAACCATATCTAAAAAAACTAGATCTGATGCAGTCTATCCAATGCAATTTTCTGAATCAGTGCCACAAAAAAACCATAAACAAACCTATCTCTCTTTTAATTATTTCACCTGCCCACAAATGATATTAATGCAAACAGTTTTTTTTGTTATGCTGTGTCGTAAAATGAAAAAAAACCTGAGATCATTATAATTCAGATGTATATAGTTCATTTTTATAGATTCATCAATCAAAATGTATAAATATATATTATTTCCTCTTTTTTTTGTTTAGCTTCAGCAATTACTTATTTTATTGTATAAAAGCTGCCACCGCAGAGTAGTCGCATCTCCCATTTTAGGTGCCAAAAATAGTATATTTGTTTTCTTTGCACAACAGCCATACCTCCATTTGAGGCTGATTTTCCCCTTCTTCCTTCTTTCTCTGAAGGCAGGGCAGTTTACAAACTGTAAAATGAAGATCTCTGAAGCTCCACTCTTCTTTCTTCCCGCCTCCTTCTGAGGCAAGGCAGTTTACAAAACCTGGAATTGAGTTCTTTGGAGGAAGGAGGGATGACCTCTATTTCAGTTTTTTAAAACTTCCCTTAGAGGGAAGAGAGAAGAGTGGAGCTTCAGGGACTTTTATTTTATTGTTTTTAAACTGCCTTTCCTTTGGGAAAGGAAAGAAGGGAGAGAGAATCAGCCCCAAACAGCTTCACAGTTAAAAAAACAAACAAACAGAATGAAGCTGTTTGTTTGCAGCTATTCATTCCTCCTTTTTCCCTTTCAGTGGTGAGGCATTTTATTTTAAAGACAATAGAAACTGGAGAAACAAATGCAGATTTTTTTCCTCGTGTAATAGTCGCACCCCCTTTTTGATTAAAACAAGGAGGGGAAAGTGCGACTATTATATGATGAAATAAAATATATCTTGCTTAATTATTTCTTCTGTTTGTGAAAGCTCCTTTTTGAATTCCAGTAAAGTTTGCAAAATTTATCATTGCGTCGTCTTTAGAAACACGAAAGCAGAGACTGAACGAAGTTAATTACAGCCTTTCTAATAAACCACGAACATTAATTAGTTGCTGTTGAATTAGCTTGGCCTTGTGCAGACAGTGGAATTTTACTTTCCAGCAGCTGATGTCATTAGTTATTCTCTTGTTGCATATTTCCTCTTGGAATGCAGGCTATTAATTACAGTCTTTATAGTTCAAAGTACGTTAGCTTTGGGGTTTGTCTAGAAGTGTCATCTGACTAGTCATAAATTGTTTCCAAGTAGAGGCTAGTTGGCCTTTGTTCCCCCTCAAACAACCCAAACTGGAAGAATCCCACTTCTGACATCAATGGAAAAAGGGGGGAGGGAGGAAGTCTTTCCAACTAATAAGATGGTTCTTTAAATCTTCTGATTGAATTTAAATAGAGATAAGTGAGAAGTAAAAAATCTGCCTTAAAGAAAAAAGCAGTTCAAAGAACAGTCCAAATTTTTGGTTTCATCTAATGATAAATTTTGCAAAAGTTTCCCAAAACTATCCAAGAGGGCTATGAAAGTATTGATATCTTTTGTAACAATGTACTTGTGCAAAAATAATAATCTCTGCTCTCATTTTTCTTAAGACTAGGTATAGAAACCGCTCTAAAACTGTAGAGTCAGAACTCAGAATACACATTTCACCTATTAAGCCAGCTATAACAAGGCTTATGAGTGAAATGCAACACCAGCATTCTCATTAGTTGTAATTATACGGATATAATATGTTCCCTTTTTAGCACAACCTTGTGCTGAATGAAGTACAACCTGTAAATTATATTCATACAATTTTCTAACATTTGTTTTCATGTTACTTTTGTATGCGTATGTCTTATTAAAGGTTCCATGTGCTTGTAGTTTGGTTAATAGTATGGTTGGTGGGCCTCACTTTTATTAAGGCAATTTTCTGTTATATTGTATTTTAATGAACCCAAAATAGTAGTATGTTTTAAAATGTCAATCTTTTCATTATTTACTTACTGTCTTTACAAAGGCGCCAGAACAACAGCCAGTAACTCTACATAGTGGGGCTGAAGATACCAAGCATTATGAAGAAGCCAAAAAATGTGTGGAAGAACTAGCATTGTACCTGAAACCACTCAGCAGTGCAAGAGGTGAGTAGTTTCCAGTTGGCCAAAATCCTGCATTGTAACACTCCACCATTGTATTTCCACCCAGTTGCATGTGCAAATCTGCATCAAAAGACAGGCCAGTTCTCTTATATACAGTATTTAGTGTTTGGGGAAAGGTGGAGATACTTGAGATCTATCCATGTGTTTGTTGGAAATCTTGGAGGGAGGGAGCTGTTTTTGTGTCTGGCTGTAGCATGTTGGTTCGCAAGGACCCCATGCTTTCCCCTGGTTTCTGAGTGGCCAAGGGAGCCCATGACATAGGTCATGTATATTGACCATAAAAGACTTAGGAGTGTATCAACAGCACAAAGGTAACCAACAGGATTATGCCTATTTTTGACTGTTGACTGTATCTTTCAATAAGAGCCTGTAACATTGGAGATGAGAAGACTCCATCTTAATTCCATTACCTTTAGAGGCAATTCTGGTGAAGACACAGGACAAAGTTATCTCAATAGTTGCTCTTGGGTGGTGAAACACTCTCTTGTTGGAAACGTGTCCCCTCACCATTATCCTTTCACCAGTAGCCAAATAACTTCTTAAATGCAAATTGTTACATGTTGTCATGGAAGAGTCTTTTATCTTTGCTGAACCTGTTTCTAGGTTATGCCTTATTTTACAACATCACCATCACACTTTTTTCTTCTTTTGTGGGGGTCGAGGGAAAGGGGGTGCAAATATTACGTGGGAAAATTATTTTGCACCTAAGTGGCTTCCCTTGGCTTCCAGACAAGGGAAACACTATAACTGCAAAGCCACTCATGAAAGAGCTACAAGGCCTCCTTCTGGTGGTGACAGCTGAGGAAGGCTCCAGAGCTGTTGCCAACAGATGTGCGAGTGGGTAAATGATGGCCTGCCCGCCTGCCAGCCTTACAGAGCTGAGAGACCTCTCTCAGCTGCTGTCAAGTCAAGGGAGGTCTTATAGCTCTCTCTCTCTGGCAGGTGGGCAGGCAGATGAGTCTTCACCCACCCATGTGCCTGATGGCAACTATTGCTGTGCCTCCCTCAACTAGGTGCTGCCACTAGAGAGAAAGCTACAGGGCCCCTTTCGGCTGTGCCAGCTGAGAAGAATATATGAGCTCTTTGGCCAGCAGGTGCACGAGTGGGTTAAGGCTTGCCCACCCACCTCTCCCGTTACAGCTAGGGAGGGCTCCCTTGGCCAAAGCAAGCCTCTATATCTTGAAGGGGAAAGGCGATTAGGCAGGTGAACTCACTCATCCAATTGCCTGTCCCCTCCAAGCTATAGAGCCCAGCCTTCTTGCATAATATTCACACCTGTCAACTGCAGGTGCGACTGTTACTCGAGAAAAACTGAAATACCATTTTTGGCACCCCCAAAAGAAGTATGTGACTATTATGCGATAGCGACTATTACGTGATGAAACACAGTATTTTAAAATACTTCAGTACTCTTTTAATATCATCAGTTGTTCAATTGTTTCTGTACTGTTATTATTAATTTTAGGTGCCTTTTGTTTAGATGTATGCTGCATTGGACCCTACATGAGAGGAAGGCAGGAGATAAATGAATATCTCATTAGAAAGCAAAATTCTAAAACAATACTTGAAACTTCTCTAACATTTTAATGTGGTTATCCTTGATATATTTTCTCCAATTTTTGAAAACAATCTGCTTTGATTAATGAAGCAAATAATGTTGCAATGTTCATAATTGACTAATCAACTAAATATTACTTGGAACAGTTACCGTTGTAATCTTCTTCAGCAAAAGATTGAGTATCTAGAAGTGGGGGGTATCCAAGATAACATTTTAAATGTCATAAAGGTCTCAGTTCTAGAATAACCTTTCATTAATTAGCCTGAAATTGACTTTGCTGTTCTGTATTGCCCTTGAAAAACTGAGAAATAAATCCCACTTTTTTCCATTTTGCAAAGGTGTGGGTCTGAACAGCACTACTCAAAGTGTACTCAGCCGTCCCATGCAGCGGAAGCTTGTGACATTAGTTCACTGCCAGCTAGTGGAAGAAGAAGGACGAATCAGGGCTATGCGTGCAGCACGTTCACTTGGTGAAAGAACTGTCACAGAGCTCATCCTTCAGCATCAGAATCCCCAACAACTCTCTTCTAACCTTTGGGCTGCAGTGAGGGCCAGGGGCTGCCAGTTTCTTGGACCAGGTACATATCAGTCAGGTTGTGTATGTTGATATGGTAAGAGGAGAGTGGGTAGTTTATTGATGAAAATGGTATAGAATAGGAAGTTTCTGTTCTTTGTGAGATATTAACTGATTTAAAACATTTTAGGCATTTTAACAGTCTTAACACCTATCACATACTTTCCAAAATAGACCAAAAAATAACTGTACAGGCCAGAATCCTGCAGCCCATTTTCCCAAGAAATAGCATCTTGGGGAAAGGGAAGGGATACTCTTGGAGGTAAGGTACTTTGGGAAATGTGCCCTGTAGAATTGCCTGTTACATAGAATCATAGAATCAAAGAGTTGGAAGAGACCTCATGGGCCATCCAGTCCAACCCCCTGCCAAGAAGCAGGAATATTGCATTCAAATCACCCCTGACAAATGGCCATCCAGCCTCTGCTTAAAAGCTTCCAAAGAAGGAGCCTCCACCATACTCCGGGGCAGAGAGTTCCACTGCTGAACGGCTCTCACAGTCAGGAAGTTCTTCCTAATGTTCAGATGGAATCTCCTCTCTTATAGTTTGAAGCCATTGTTCCGCATCCTAGTGACATAGATTTCTTCCCAGAATACCTTACTTTTAAGGACAGTCACATGAAAGACTTGAAAGCCACGGTTTGAGGAAGAAGCGACTCCACTTTTCTTCACAGTAATCAGTAGAGTATATATAAAGTTCCCAAGTAAATTTCAGCAGCCAGAGGTCCTTCTGACCAGTGCTTTCCCCAGGAAAGTTTTTCTTACTGTGGAATGCTAATGAGAAGCACAATTTTTCTGCCTGGAAGTTCCAGCCACTACTGTTTTATCCTGATAAATGTGTTGAGTTTTCCTGTGGGATTCAAATGAAATGTTTGTTAAAATAAAATGAAAAATTATCAGAATTGTGGATAATGCAACAGATGGTCATATTGCATAGTATTACCATGCCAACACTTAGGGGCTTCTAGATTATAGCCTGATTACTAATATGAATGTTTTATAAAGCATTTAGAGCATGAACACTGTTTCTGAAATTATTCTTAATCCCACAATCCTAATTTTGTTGATCTTCTCTTAATTTTCTAGCAATGCAGGAGGAAGCCCTTAAATTAGTTCTTTTGGCTTTGGAAGATGGATCTGCTTTGTCTCGAAAAGTCTTGGTTCTGTTTGTGGTACAGAGGTTGGAACCACGATTTCCTCAGGCTTCTAAAACCAGCATTGGGCATGTTGTCCAGCTTCTTTACAGAGCCTCTTGTTTCAAGGTACAGAACTTGAGTTATTCTAGTAAATTTATAGTGTGTTTGATTTTGATATGGAATTGTTCTTTTCAAATATTTAAATATGTCCCCTCTTAACATTCTTTTTCTTCAAACTAAACATACCCAGCTCCCTAATCCATTCCTCATAGGGCTTGGCTTCCAGACTTTAGGCCAGGGGTCCACAAACTTTTTAAACAGAGGGCCGGGTCACAGTTCCTCAAACTGTTGGAGGGCCGGATTATAATTTGAAAAAAACATGAATGAATTCCTATGCACATTGCACATATCTTATTCGTAGTGCAAAAATCATTTAAAAACAATACAGTAATTAAAATGAAGAACAATTTTAACAAATATAAACTTATTAGTATCTCAGTGGGAAGTATGGGCCTGCTTTTGGCTCATGAGATAGGATTGTTGTCATTGTTGTGTGCTTTCAAGTCATTTCAGACTTAGGTTGACCCTGAGTGAGGGCCGGGTAAATGACCTTGGAGGGCCGCATCCGGCCCACGGGCCTTAGTTTGAGGACCCCTGCCTTAGGCCATTTTCATTGCCTTCTCTAGATTTCTTCCAGCTTGTTAATATCCCTCTTGAATTGAATTGCTCAGAACTTGACACAGTATTGCAAGTGATGTCTGACCAAAGCAGAATAGAGCGAACTACTATTTCTCTCTATATTCCTATTCACACAACCTAGAATCGCATTGGCTTTTTTAGCTGCTTCATCACACTATCTGACCAAAACAGAATAGAGCCATAGTAAGCAACTTGTTCCTGGTGGGGATTGTTCTATGCAAATTCTATTGAAATGTTTGTGTTTTTTCTTCCACACCATTGCAAGAAATTGTAAAACTATTCTTAGTATCTGCTTACTGTAAAGGGTATTCGACCTCTAGACTAGAACTTAGCATATCTTACTAATAATGATATTCTAATCTTTCTATTTAGTTTTCCTGATTTACTGTCTATTTGTATATGTTTCATATACAAATAGATCAATGAGGAATCTCTTGTTCATCTGGTAATGTTGGAAGGCTTATTTTCTTTCAAACAGATAGAAATAATTGCAATACTAATTCTTTTTTGTCATATAGTTCAGTAAGAATCCAACAGACTTCTGGTAATATGCTTTATTTATTGTGCATTATCACTTCCCCTGATCCAAATATATTCTGTCTCCTTTAGGTGACTAAACGTGATGAGGATTCCTCCTTGATGCAACTGAAGGAAGAATTCCGAACATATGAAGCCCTGAGACGAGAACATGATTCCCAAATTGTGCAAATTGCTATGGAGGCTGGTTTGCGCATTGCTCCTGATCAATGGTCCTCATTACTATATGGAGACCAGTCTCACAAATCTCATATGCAGTCTATTATTGACAAGGTAAAGCCTCTTCAAGTCATCCTGATTCCTTTACTTTTCCACTGTTTAAAAAGTTGATTTTAGTTAGAAAGTGTAGAAATTAAGAATGCGCTTAATAGAAGAATGTAAAGCAAAGCTTTACAAACATTTCATGGTGGTGACATACTTTTCAGACATGCACCACTTCGCGAGACAGTAATTCAGTTTACTAGCTGTAAAGAGGCCACCAATTTGTAAAGATGGCACCCAGTTTGTATCGATGCCACCAATTTGTAAAGGTTTGTAAAGAAACCACCACTTTGTAAGGACTTATTAAATTGATAACACAACTAATAGCTTGTAATGTTGATTTGGTCTTTCTTCAATGTGTAGCGTGGCTTAACTTGAAAGTATTTGTAACAGAGACTTGGCTTTAGAAGAAACTGTAACAAGTTTATTGAAGTATAGAAGAAGCTTGATGGTTTCAATGTTTCCTAACTCTTAGAGGCACATATCTTCAGTGGCTATATTTATAACATTTCATAAAACAACTCTTGAGAGTACTGTTCCTTCCATTAACCAGGTTTTAAACTTATTTTCCTTTAAAATATGTTTCTTTCTTTAACAGATTATTTCAGGTCCAAGCTTATTCTTTCCTTATGTTGTTTCTGTTGCAGTAAAGATTCTTATTAGGGTTCTCTCACCCTTTTTATTCATACACTAACCACTAATCTAAATAAGTCAACTTGATCTATCTAAACTTCACAGGCTAAAAGCCTAAACCCTCCTGATTCTCAACACAGTAGAATCAACCTTTCCCTGTAGTTCTTAGACTACAGACTACTTTTCTGGTTCTCAACACACAACAGAACCAGCCTTCCCTGTAGTTCGCTGACTACAGACTAACTGTTTTAAAATGGCTCCCCTGTTAAGTGGCAGTTGGCTCCACCCTTTTTTCCATGGCAACTCAGCTCAAAGTGAGTTGAGCTGGCTACCATCCCCCCAATTATGCTAGTTTAAATTCTTACCCTTTTAAACACCTATCTATTATTATACATAACTGTAGATTAAAATTCACACTTCACCACACTAGCAAACTGATAGTCATTGATATGGACACATACAAAAATTGTAATAAGGAAATGCATAGGGACACAACATATCTCATGAAAAACTTTCATTTATAGTTTAAAAATATATGATGTCTAAGAATAATATACATTTCCAAAATGTTTGTCATTTATGAATAACAGTATTCTATCAATACTTATTAATAATGTTACTAATGCTAATTGGCACTTTTGCTGCATAAAATGCATGCAAATTGAAATTGCTTATTTCACATAGACTCAAATATCTTGGTACATTGAAAACATCTACACACTACAGCCAACACATGTGATACGACACACAGTTTGGAAAGCTCTGGTGTAAAGTATGAAAGGAATAATTAAATGTAGAAATTATAACTTGTTTTCCTGACAAATGGACGTGTGTGTTTGTATATATTTTAAGTTGCAGACCCCAGCCTCTTTTGCACAGAGTGTTCAGGAACTAACCATTGCTCTTCAGAGGACTGGTGACCCAGCTAATTTGAATAGACTTCGACCCCATCTAGAACTTCTAGCAAATATTGATCCCAGTCCAGGTAATAATAAAATAAACAATACCCATGTGGGATTTGTGAGGTACATTAAAGATGAATAAATTCATTATAGCATTAGATCAAAGGGGGTACTTCAGCTTCATGGAATATCATCTTGAGTTTTGTCCAGCTATGTGTATCTGGGAGTAAGGAGAAGGAAAAATTTTAGCAGTCAGTTCAGAGGGAAATAAAATTCAAGAAATAATAGTCATTATTATGTTAACATAGGAATATAACCATAATCAAGTTACAAATGTTAATTTAGTAGTTAATCTCTGTCACCTAGAGAGGTGTCAAAATAAATTAGACTATGATTACTCAAAACTACAATAAAGAAAACAGCTCGTAGTTAGCTAAATTTGTCTCCCTTTTTAGATGTTGAAACAGATCTGTGCATGGATGAAATTAGCATCTTCTTTTTAATGTTTCTGAGCTGAGATGCTGTAGAAGACCCATAATAGATGGATTTAAGTTTGTACAGTTCTACCAAAATGTGTTCGTTCGTGCTATAATGTACAAATCTTGTAATACAGTATGGCTTCCTATCCATAGATTTAAGATCTATGGTTTCACTTATGCATGCTTCGATTTTTTTCTTTCCCTTAGACTGGGTCCTTCTTGCATCAGATACAATACTGCATTTTGTTGCATCTGGTATTTCTTATGTGTCAAATATTTTACCAGTAATCTTTTTTTCATGAGTATTTCTGAGTGATAAAAGTGTTGCTATGGGTTCTTCTAACTTCAATACTTTGATTCATTCCTAAGAAACAGATTGCAGCTTCTGCTTCCTGAATTTGGGGAATCAGAGTTCTGTTTTCCAGACTCATTTTAGACATACTGCCATTTTATTATTTCTCAAAAACTGACATAAATTTTGCACATTTTAATGGAATTCAGAAGATTTTGTTTCTGTAGACTCTTTCTGTTAAAATACAGAAATTCAGTCATCTGCTTTTTATGAACATTCTAGATGCCCCACCACCAACATGGGAACAGCTTGAAAATGGACTGGTTGCTGTGCGTACTGTGGTGCACGGACTGGTTGATTACATCCAGAATCACAGCAAGAAAGGAGCAGATCAGCAGCAGGTATTATGTGGGGTTGGGAGGGAGAGTTGTTCCGTAGGATCCCCTTTAAAAACAAACAAGCAAACAAACAAGGTTACATAATGCAAAAGAAAGGTGGGATACACATGGAAGGGCATGTTGATTCCACTTTGAGTTCTCTATTGTATTGGTAAATAAACATATGATTTTGTCCATCAGTATCTTCTTCAGATATTTCTGTGAACAGTTTCCTTTGGGGTCTTGTGAAGATAATGATCTTTCAGGGACTTAAATAACTTCTAATAAAGTCTTTTTTTCTATGATATGCTACAGATATATAGCTGCTGGTTTGTTTTTTAATGACTTTGGGCAAAATGTTTTGCAGATATCTGAACTATAGCATTTGACCTGAGATCATAATGCTACAGAAAAACTTCTTAGCTATGATGCCTTTATTATAAGTATTACCTGCAGTTTCAGTGTTGGGCTAAGTGTGAAGGTGACCAGGATTTGAGCCCTTCCCACCTAAGGAAGCTCTCTGGATAACCTTGAGCAAGTGACATTTTTTCAATAATGGAAACCGTTCCTGAAGAAATCTTTCTAAGAAAACCTTTGATGGGTTGCCATATATCAGAATTTGCTTGAAGGCACACAACAACTTTACGTGCCAATCTGTGGCAAGTCTTTAAGCAACAGTGAAATCAAAGAGTCATTTAAAAATAATCCAATGCAAGTCTTTTTTTTCAAGTTGAGGCATGTTGATACAGCTTGATTGCTGATTTGAGTTAATGTTTGCAAAATTTAAGTCCCACAAAAGTTAAATAGTGGGTTCATAAGACATATAAGAAATATTAAATCTGAAGCAGAAGGTTCCATGTTTTGTAGAATATGTATATATTGTCAAGAGCCTGGAGGCATTTTAATTCCAGGCAGAACACCAACACAATTATAGACAGTATACTTTTTTGACTCAATGATCAGTCATCTCAAAGCAGGCACTATATGCAGAATAACTGCTGGTGCAATCTGACGAAATCTAAAAATTCCAATTGTATTTATGTTCCCTCCAAGAATCTAATGGGAGGAGAGCAATATTGTTAGAAATAGAATAGTCTCTTGTTTTGATAGGACAAGATAAGTCAGGTAATATGCTAGGAAAGATATAAAACAAGCTGAGAACAGATAAGTTAGGTGATTGAAATCTGTGGCCATCTTACGAAGGTAAACATGTACACTGTTTCAAGCTGATGGCTAAAACATCTTGATATAGATAATGTTCGTAAAAGAAAAAAAATGTTGCTCTCAAATAGAAATATTTCCCATTCTGATTGCAGTGGAAGCTGCTGAAGATAGCAGTGCCTGAAGTGGCATCATGGATGAGACAGTATTCCTCAGTGGATAATTGACTAAATTATATTGTTTAATGTAATAATGTTCCTCTGTGAGATAACTTTAAAGTGACACAGATGGTATAAATATTGGGTTGTTGTAGGTTTTTTCGGGCTATATGGCCATGTTCTAGAGGCATTTTCTCCTGACATTTCGCCTGCATCTATGGCAAGCATCCTCAGAGGTCGTGAAGTCTGTCCTCAGAGGTAGTGAGGTATAAAGATTCTTATGCAAGTGTTACATTTCCCTTGCCGTATACTATAATGTAATAAGTATATGCAAACTTAAATGCAATACTATGCAATGAGAGTAACAGGTCTAGACATGGAAATGTCTAGGTTTCTCCCTAAGGGAAGTACATATATTTGTATGTCTGTGATTGCGTATAATAAAGACTTGAAGATGAACAAATAGCTATATAAATGTGTTGAGATTCACTGCTTGGAGTATTGATATTGAGTGTGCCTGTATGAATTTCATTATGAGCACATGTTGGGCACTCATGTGACCAGGTAGTAATACTGGGACTACAGATAGAAAAGAGATGAGCTGAAAAGAGACAAAAAAAAAACTTCAATCCCTCAGTTTAAAGAGATGTGTGGGGAAACCACATCTGTCCCATTTCAATTTGTTTTATATCTACAATGTGTGGGGCCACATTTTAAAGAGGGCACAGCCATCATAGTGCTGGAATGTAGTAACCCACTTTGAATGCCCAGATTCCATTCACACACATCTTCACAAATTTCATCCTCTCCTGAAAATCCACCCCATGTGTTGCACTTAGGCTTTGGTGCCAGATGATGGTTTGTAGAAACCTGGATGTGTGGAAAAGGGGGAGCTTTTCGAGAGAAGATTGTATCATTGGGCCAACAGATGGTTAGCTCTTGGTTAGAATAGAAGGGACTTATCCTCAGACATTGTTGTTTGGGTTTTTTTTTTGTAATCTTATCAATATTCTGATGTCATCTTCTTTATTTTTTCATATCATTTAGCCTCCTCAACACAGCAAGTATAAGACATATATGTGCCGAGACATGAAACAAAGAGGAGGATGTCCCCGTGGGGCCAGCTGCACCTTTGCACATTCACAGGAAGAACTAGAAAAGTAAGGTTTTGTGCCTTATATGTCCATAGACTGTGAATTTATCATAGCATTTTCATTATGTGACTAGGAGCTGCGGGGGTTTGTTTTAGCATGAATCTTTCTAAACGGATGAGGCACTGAAAGTTTCAGGTCATCCAAACAGGAAATGGGTATACATGAAAAGTTATGAAGAATAAAATGGTTCTGTGGTTTATTCAGAAAATGAAGTATTTTATTTATTTATCGTGTCAGGAGCAACCAGACATTTGTATTACATTTTTAACAAAACAAACAGACAGGCGGACAAAACGCAAAGTTTGCAAGCTTGGTAGTTGATTAAAGGTCCTTTGAACAGTATCTGACCACTTGGAGTGCCTGTGGTGTTGCCGCAAGGAGGTCCTCCATTGTGCATGTAGCAGGGCTCAGGTTGCATTGCAGCAGGTGGTCAGTGGTTTGCTCTTCTCCACACTCGCATGTCGTGGATTCCACTTTGTAGCGTAGCCCCATTTCTTAATGAAGTGTGTGGTGGGATGACATCAAATAGATCAATTATTATTGTCATAATTACTACAACTATTCTATTTATGTCCCATTTTTATCTCAGAAACCAAGGCATGAATGCGCACAATTTTTAAAAACCTATACATAAAAAGTAAATTGAGTTAAACTGGGACATTTAGTAAAACAATTCAGTTAAAATACAGATAAATAAATACATAGCTATTAAAAACCATACACTAATGTTAGTCTTATCTACGGAAAGAAATACAGCAGGTGTAAGTTGTTAATTTCCTGTTCTTCTCTAATATATATATATTTTTCTTCCTGAAGATTTCGTAAGATGAACAAACGACTGGTTCCTCGGAGACCTCTGAGTGCCTCCTTAGGTCAGCTCAATGAAGTGGGCCTATCGGCAGCAGCTATTCTATCAGATGAAGGAGCTGTAGACTTGCCGAGCAGAAAACCCTCTGCCTTGCCAAATGGGATTGTTTCAACAGGCAGTACAGTGACTCAACTTATCTCTCGTGGAACTGATTCCAGCTACGATTCAGCCCTGAAACCTGGAAAAATTGACCACCATAGTAGCAGTGCTCCTGGATCACCTCCTGAATTGTAAGTTTGTTTCCTTTATGGTATTACATATGTGATGTGGTTATAAAGCAGCTTCCCAGTTTGGAATTGGTAACATTCATGTGCATAAATTAGATGTCCATACAGATGTCATCCAAATGCAGAGATAATGGTCCTACACTACGTTAATATCACAATCTTGTATATCTTAACTGGATAGGAAAATATGTTCAAATGTCCTCCCAGTATTTATCTGATTTATATTATTAAAATAATAGAAATATGCACTTGAATATTTCTAATAATTCTTAAAGTATATAAAGAAGCCTACTTTTTAGTGGGAATCTATTTGTATATCAGGCTCATAAAACCAGTTTTGATTTGAATTTTAGCTGAAATATAAGCAGTTTTCACATATCTGTGGTCTCTAAACAAGAGATTGTATTGTCCCTAAATAAACTCAGAGAATTTATTTAGGGAGAGTCCCTAAATAAATAAGAGAGAGTCCCTAAATAAACTCAGCATTTTTAACCTCTTAGTTCTGGATCCAAATGGAAACCCACCCCTACCTTTTGGAAATGCAGTGGTTATACGTGGACAATTTAATCAGTGAAGCAAAAACAGAAGTTCAAATGAAGCAGTGACTACAGGAATGAAATGTCAGTGAAATTAAATACAAACAGTAGAACATATAGGTACCTTATACAATAAATCTTTGGATTTTTGTAAAACTCTAGTCTTTCACAAAATCACTGATGTGTGAAAGGAATTTGCCATATGTTTACAGTCTAGAGTTTAACTCTTAAGGCAGTTGTCAAACCTCCAAAGTTTAAAACTGCTTAAATTGAGGGGACCAGGCAAATATGGCAATCTGTTGTTCTCTCACCTAATAAGCTCCTGAGGGGGAAGTCACTACCTGTGGATAATCACCAGTTCTGAGTTATTTGGACCGGGTGGTGGCATTTTTCCTGGCAAGGAATAAACAAATACGTTTGTGAAAATCCAGTTTTGCCTCTAATGCCCTGCCAAGACACTGTTTTTGTATCAGCAAACACAGAGGAGTTGGAGGTTAAAAAAAACATCTGTCTCAGCATTTCAACTATAACTCACAGAAAATAAACATATAGTTGCCATTTTAAAATAATATTTTAAAGAAGATTGTACCTTGAGATTTACTCCTGGATGTTAGATAATTAACTTCCCATCTACATTCAACTTCTCCTTTTGGAAAGAATGAATTTATCTAGTCTGAAATTAAATGCAACGTTTTGTGTATTGGTTTTGCTTAGTAATTTTGTTATTGCAGGTTAGTGTTTTATATTTTAAAAAATGTTTGTTTTGTGTTAGATACAATTTGTTTCTATGCCTGTGTCTTCATTTGTTTGTATGATAGTATATTTGTTGCTTTGAATAAAAATTAATTTTAACAACTGCTTAAATTGCATTCTGCTCTGGAAAAAATGACTATTTAATTCAACATAATATGTAAGTTGATTGATATTTACTGGTGGGAAAATGGGATCATATGCACTTCAAATATGCTTACAGCAGAGGTGACTCATAGTTCTTTCTCTGGAACCCATCATGAACTGGCTAAAACAAAACTGAAAGTGCCTTCTGTTTCTGTAATATTGCACAAGGAACAGACAATTCTTGTGGCTGCATCTTGTCTTAATGGAGAATTGTTACTCCTTGAACGTCTAGGACAGGGGTCCTCAAACTATGGCCCGGGGGCCGGATGCGGCCCTCCAAGGTCATTTACCCGGCCCTTGCTCAGGGTCAACCTAAGTCTGTAACGACTCAAAAAGCACACAACAACAACAACAATCCTATCTCATCAGGCAAAAGCAGGCCCACACTTCCCATTGAAATACTAATAAATTTATATTTGTTAAAATTGTTCTTCATTTTAATTATTGTATTGTTTTTAAGTGGCTTTTGCACTACAAATATGATATGTATAAGGTGCATAGGAATTCCTTCATTTTTTTTTTCAAATTATAATCCGGCCCTCCGACAGTTTGAGAGACTGTGACCTGGCCCTCTGTTTAAAAAGTTTGAGGACCCCTGGTCTAGGAGCACCCAGGAGCAGCAATCTGAGGACAAGCTACAAGACCACATGATTACCACCCGTTTACTGCCCACCGCATACTGAAAGTAAAACATCCTTTCTACAGATAAGGATAGAGAAAGAATGGGAGAGGCAATCCCAGACCAGTTGTGCTTTTAATTTGTTTTTCATACATATGATAGTTTTTAAAATATATATATAAGCCATCTTCTGGTGAAAGTTGTAGTACTTCTGCTGCCCTTTTCTAATGCAGTGTTTTGGCAACAAATGAGTGGGAAACTATTCAAATCACTCTCTGCTCTCAGTAAATCTTCCTAGTCCATCTCTGCCCCCAGAAGCTTTAATGCAGCAATGATTGGTTGCATGTCTTGGACAGTCTAATTGTCAGGACATTATCATTGGTTTCTTCTAGGCTGGAACCTGCTCCTGAGAATTCTCTATCTGCCTTACCAGTCAACTCTCACCCAGCACCACCACGTGGTCCTGCAGACCTGCCTCCAATATCAGTTGGCAAGCAACTTCAGATGGTGCCCCGTGTCTCTCAGATGTATCCAGCTCAGCAAACAGATATGTTTTATGCAGGTGCGCGAGGAGCAGCTCCCCCATTTGAACCACCTCCTTATCAACCAGGTAACAGTGATATCTGGATGGAAGTTGGGATTGGGATAGAGGCAAAAGTCTGCATCATTGTGGAGTTATTGAGAAAGCATGGGATAGTAAACAAAGTATAACTGCTCAGTAATAACCTTTTGAATCTCTTGCTTATGCACAATATCAAAGGTCCGAATATCAGATTAACTGTAAAATGGATTATGCATGAAGACAGATTTCTTGAATGATAAACTTTTTAAAAAAAATTCTCAGATTAGGTCATGTGTTACTAGTTATGTGACTGATACTCTGTAGCTTAGCTGCCTCTACCTTTGCTTTCAACCTAGAGCTCCTCTGCTCTCCTCAAAGCTGCCATTCTCTGACCACATTATATAACATTATATAACAAAATAGCAGAAGCTAGAGCAGGCATGGGCACATTTTGGCCCTCAGGTGTTTTGGACTTCAACTCCCACAATTCTTAACAGCCAATAGGCTTTTAGGAATTGTGAGAGTTGAAGTACAAAACACCTGGAAGGCCGAAGTTTGCCCATGTCTGAGCTAGAGGAAAGCATTGGTGGCAGGGAAACACCCAACCACTACCCAGCAAACCAGGTGGAAAGGCTTTCCCAAACTTTGCCAAATAATAAAAAAATATTATCCTATTTCTTAAATGTATTTTCATATATTGCCAGTATTCATATACAACCCTTATGTACATGTCTCATTTCTTTATTCCAAGAATTCAGTTTCTCCGCTTAAGAAGCCACAAGCCAAAACAACTTTTCTGTATTGCAGTTGCATTGCTTAGTATAAAGTATTTTGAATTTTGTGACAAGGAAAATGATTGTTAAAGAATTCTGCTTACACTATGTAACATGATGTTTGTACCTGGGTTATAAATGTCATTATCTAATTGCGTCTGTCAGAAAAACATGGAAAACGTTTATTAAACTGCCCAAAAAATTAAAATTGGCATATGAAAAGTTAAAAATGGCACATTGAAAGGTTTAAAATGGCAGGCACAAAAACAAAAATTCTGTAGTATAAAAACTATTTTCAAAGTAAGTACGGTACAAGTAAACAAAACAGGAAATAACATTTTCAAACCAGGAACAGAAGGTCTTTCAAATTTTGTTACATAGTGTTATAGAAGAAAGGAAACAGTGATGCAAGAAATTTAAATTTTGTTTCCAAGCACAGCAAGCTTTGGACAAGTTTACTACAGATTTTAAAACAATGCTGTGTAACCATGAGAGCCAGAATTTTTGGCAAATTAGAACTAGATTTTTTCATTTTTTCAATCTTTTAATTAAACATTTTAATAGAAAAAATACAAAGAAAAGCAACAATACTTATGTGTACATAAGCATATTTAAACAGCACATAACAAACTACACAACATACATCTATACATATAACACCAAACTACACAACATATGCATAAATTAGTTTTAAAATTGGGATTGCAGCTTCCCTTTTGTCAGTTTCTCTATAATTTATTTTTTTCTTCCACTTTATATCCATCAAGTTATTTACTTTTTGTTTTACTATTAACAAATGAATATCCCAACATTCTATATACATTCTATAACCTGTATATAAAGTCTTTCACTTTCCCTCAGATATAGAAAAAAAAAGTTTCTGTTCATCAAATAATGTGTCCAATGACTTGCTCTTCAACAACATTGTAAACTTGTCCATTACTATTAATTCCCGCATCTTCACTGTCCATCCTTCTATAGTTGGTTTTTCTGTCTTTCCATTATACATGCAGGATTCTTGTCGCTATTTAATTACCTGTAGATTTTTTAAACAAATTACATGTTAATTTATCCAAGACAGTTTTGACATTAAAGGAATTCTAAAGAAATTCTTAAGAACTTCTCGTAATCACTACTGTTCATCCGCTTAAAAAGCTCAGCTGAGGTTTACAATTGAGTGCTGAATCTCATTTTTCCAAAAAAAAAGAAATGGAAGTTGTCTATTTTAGTTCAATAAGATATAGTGGATGGCTTTCAATCATAAAAATATTATATATGTATTGTGTACACAAAAAAGGTCTTGACGTAATGCATTCCACACTGGGCTTTGGTCTTTTATAGCCTTATAACCAAGGAATACCAGGGGGAAAGCTTCAGGGGAAAATATCTTTTACATTAAGCAATAAGGAAAGTGTATGCCCATTGGGGAGCAGAAAAGAATAGATTTTCAAGGATAATGAGCTTGGAAAAAATGAAGAAGTTGATATTCTAGAACTAAAACTCCTGTAGAGCTTGAAGGAATGGGCACATATTTGGGTGCCTCACCTGTCTATAAAGATTGATGGAGTATATTGCTGTTTAGAATTGATCCTGTGAATTAGTCTTTGTAAATTCTAGCCAATCATAATAGCCATGAGGTCTAACTACATTATTTTCAGAATTGTATTGACAAAAATAAATTGTAAAATTCTTTATAAATTTACTGTAAATATTTTATTACAGAATCCAAGTTTGAAACAAAGCATAGTTATATTCTCTTCTACACTTAATTTCACTTCAATACAGTGTTTACTTACATGTGTTACATTGTGACTGTCCTCTGGAACATGAGTATGAAGGATTCTAATCTCCAGGCCATCATACATCCGACTCCCAGTGCTGCTACTAGTTAGCCTATGCATCTCTTCTGACAACAGAGGAGACAAGGAAGAAGTCTCTCTTATCCAACCTTCAGTTATCCAACATTCTGTATTATCCAACGCAGTCTGCCTCCTGTCTGAATCCACAGCTGTTTCAATACATTGCAATATTTTGGTACTAAATTCGTAAATACAGTAATTGCTACATAATGTTACCATGTATTGAATTGCTATTTTTATCTATTTGCTGTAAAACATGATGTTTTGGTGCTTAATTTGAAAAATCAGAACGTAATTTGATGTTTAATTGGCTTTTCCTTAATCCCTGCTTATTATCCAACATTTTCGCTTATCCAATGTTCTGCGGTCCTGTTTTTGTTGGAAAAGCGAGACTCTACTGTAGCTGTTTTTTCCGTATGTTTACCTGTGTGCTGCTAGTTGCTGCTCCTGTTACTGCCACCTAAAGGAACCAAGCAGTCACATGTAAATTGCTGTTAAGATAACTGGAGTGGGTTGAGTTTATGTAGGGATTAGTTCACAGAAATACATAAATTGTTCCTTACTTTAAAGTGGCTTCTATAGCTGCTTCCAGATATCTTTCCATATTGACGTTCTCTCTTAAGAAAGACCATGTGGTGTGATTTAGCTTATGAAAATTAGATCCAAGTTCTCTGAAATACGTGAAAATTTTGAGCTAAAGCACTTTTCCAATATCTTGTTTCATGCGTTTAGGTGTATATTATCCTGCAGCTCAGTCTTCACAGTGCATGTCCCGATTTGTTCGGCCGCCACCATCTGTTCCTGAACCAGGTCCTCCTTACTTAGAACATTATTCACCATACCTTCAAGATCGCATGGTGAACTACAGTGCGCAGCCACAGCAATACCCTCCTATGGGACAGCCAGTGTATCCTCCCCATTATGACAGCCGGCGCGTATATCCCCCTGCGCAGCCATACCAGCGAGAAGAAATTATCCGAGGAAGTCCTGTACCCATTGAAATTCCTCCGCCTGCTGTATCACCATATGTACCTGAAGCAAGAGACAGATATCCACAAGTAGAGGGCTACTATCCCGTCAGTCAGCATCTGAATCAGATCAGACCTTCATATCACAGAGTATGGGCTGTATGATATCTTCCTATGGGATTCTGTTGGTGATAATTGGATTTTGTTGCTTAGTGTTTTTTTTTTTATTACAGAATGCTATACAATTAGTCATAGCAACTCTTTGAAGTACCATTTTACAGATGGGATTAAGCCAAGATATGTTCTTGATTTTGTAAAAAAAAAAACAAACAAACAAATTTAAGGCACACAACAGCAACAAGACTCAAAATCAAGACTTAAATTATTAAATATTCTTTTGAAGACCACTTCTTTTGGGGAATGTTACTTATGGAAATAATGGCATTTAAACTAGTAGCTCTATTATTTTCAGAATTGTATTGACAAAAATAAATTGTAAAATTCTTTATAAATTTACTGTAAATATTTTTATTACAGAATCCAAGTTTGAAACAAAGCATAGTTATATTCTCTTCTACACTTAATTTCACTTCAATACAGTGTTTACTTACATGTGTTACATTGTGACTGTCCTCTGGAACATGAGTATGAAGGATTCTAATCTCCAGAAGTACTAAATTCAGAGAAAAACGCAACAATACTGTAGTGTCAGTGCTTTCTTTTGCTCTATCTTACTAATATCTATTTAGATACTTAGTTGGAGAATCATACGATGGATTTTGAAATTCCAAATCCACCATAGGTTTCTTCTTTAAGAATGCAGCTTTCTTCAGGTCTTCAAACCACTTTTTATAATAAATAATCCTGTCAATCAACAGGAGCCTTATATCCGGCCTCCTCTTCAGCCACATCCCAGTCTAGATGAATTGCACCGACGACGAAAGGAGATCATGGCTCAGTTAGAAGAAAGGAAAGTCATCTCCCCTCCTCCTTTTGCACCATCACCAACTCTGCCTCCTACTTTACACAGTGATGAGGTGAGTGTGTTTTTAAAAAATGATGTTTCTACATTATTTCAGTAGTCCCACAGGTGTGCTCATTAGTGAATAAATATCACAAGTTTTGACCCACAGAAATATGCATGTCCAATTTGAATACATATTGACTCTCCCTTATCTGAAATTCTAGAGATCAGAAGTATTTTGACTTACAGGTTTATTTTTATTTTGGAATGTTTTCATATTCCTAATGAGATATTTAATGAGATGGAGCTGAAGTCTAAACACAAATTTTATTTATGTTCATCTACAGTATATAAATATGGTATGAAGATAATTTTATACACAGTATCTTTAATATTTTTGCATGGAACAAAGTCCATGTACATTGAAGCATTAGAAAGCAAAATATCACCATCTCAATAATCCTTGTGGGCAATTTTGGAGAATTTCCGATTTTCAGCATGTACCATGACATAATCATGTGTAAGCGTCTCTTTTTATCTTATGAGATGTGACTACCTCATCAAAGATTTTGAGAACCACTGGGAATGGATATGTGTGTAGCCCTAAACAGTATGAGTGACCTGAGATAAACTTTTAAAAGACTTGTTCATATGACTCAGGCCATGCATATTGGATTTTAAGCATGTAGGCCCTCCAGATTTTTAGAGACAAACGTGCATATCCATCCAATAGCCTCAGAAGGCAGAAAGGCCTTCTGAGATCGGTGAGAAGGCCAGATCTCACACTTCACACCAGTCCCACAAACAATATCCAAAAACCTTCAGGTTTAGACTGTGCAGGAAATTGATTTCCCAAAATATACAGCACTTAAATTTGACAAGGGGAGTAGCTAAATTGGATTGCCTTGGAGCAAGGGAATAGAGTGACATTTTTCTTTGGTTGGCAAAACTATTTTAAAAAATGAAAGTTCCACAATTACATCACATTTTTCATCAATTGTTTTAGCAAAGTGGTTTATCATATCACCTTTAAGTCTTCTCTTCTCCAAGCTAAACATATCCAGCTCCCTAAATTGTTCCTCGTAGGGTTTGGTTTCCAAATCTTTGGTCAACTTAGTTGCCTTACTCAACACACGTTCCGTTATCAGATTGAGATTACACTATGTGACATTATTTTTGTTCCTGGGTTATAAATGTTATTTCCTAGTTGGTTCTATCATAAAACATTGAAAAGGTTTGTTAACCTGCAAAAACTTAGTTTTTGTGTACATCCATCATATTTTGCTATCATTTTTCAATGAATAACTCATATATTCTCAACCAATTTAGCCTGGTTTGTGGCAGCCACAAAAACGTAGTTTCTTGAGTATATAACTACTACTTTCAAAGTAAGTACTGCACAGTTAAACAGGGATAACATTTTCAAACCAGGAACAGATTTTTTTTTCAAATTTTGTCACATAGAGTTATATTAAGTTTATTGAGACTCTTCTTCTAGAGAACACCAGATGACTCTAAATAAGGTATCTTGTCAAATGGCTCATTTAGTTTTTGTGGCACATGGGGGTCCATCCATCAAATCTGAAAGTGATGTTTATTAGTAACTATATTCCATATTTACATTAAATTCTAAACATAATAAACTTAGCTGGATGTGTAAAGCGCCTATACGTTTTATATGAAAAAAATAACACAGTCCGATTAGAAGTTTTTGAACACATGAAAACCATATAGTTTGCCTCAAGTGCCAATTTGGATCCAATTCAAATAGTTGTTAAAGGCACATAGAACATTATTCTTGTATTCTTTCTTTCTTTTTCTTTTTTACTGTTATTGCAAGAATTCTCAATGCAAAGATTTCTTTTCCTGCAATTACATAGCTGGGCTCTGTTTTTATACAGTACATGGAAGAAGATTTGAAGGTAGCTGGGAAATACAAAGGAAATGATTACAGCCAGTACTCCCCATGGTCATGTGAAACCATTGGCTCCTACATTGGAACCAAAGATGCAAAACCCAAAGACATTGTGGCAGTGGGACTTGTGGAGATGGTGGTAAGCATTCAGAAACGATCTAACAGTGCTAAAGAGTGTGTGTTGTTGATACTCAGTACATCACTGGAAATTGATCTTGTGCCCAGAAAGGCAGAATACACACACAGAATCCTAGATACAGTTCCTAGCATGGTGATTTTTAACAAGAGATTTAAGGATCTCTACTTGAACCTTTATGCATTTTAAAGTAACCTTTCTCTCTTAATTTTCAGGCTCAATGTAGACTTCATGATTTAAAGTTTACTTCTGTGTTGTTTTGATGTCTAAATTGATAAATATACATTTTAATTAGATGATTTGCCAACCAGAAATAGAAAACATATTTTAAAATGTGTTCACAAATGGTTGTTTGGACTCCTCATAGTCTCAGGTATTTGAATGAAAAGAGTATAGTGAAGCAATGACTTCATTTCCTAGAGAAACTATGGAGACAACAGTGAGGCTGAGTTCTAGAGGGACATTTGTTGAAATGACAGGCTTGCCTCTCTAAAGTATGAGTTGTCTATTTGAAAACCCAAACCAATTTTTGATTTCTAAACTATGATCTATTATGCCTGAATGGAGTTAAAATTTTGTGTAATGGTTCCTAAACTCTTCATTTCAAAAGAAGTGCTTGTGAGAAGTACAGGGTGAGGCAGCATAACTTCCCTTTTTCAAAACTTAATAAAACCCATTATATGAATCAGAAATTTTTATTTTTTTTATAATGTAGGCGCATACCTAAAGTTTTGTTTTACGTAGTTTTGAAGATCAAATTAGGTAGATGACGTCCCCCATTCTCCATACACTGAGTAAACCGATTTCTGGCATTTGTCATGACTCTTGCCAGCATAGCAGGCTTTTCGTTGGCAATTTCTTCCTGGATGTTGGTCTTCAAATCTTGTAGGGTCCTTGGACGGTTCACATAAACATGGAATTTAAAAAAAAAACCATAGAAAAAAATCACAAGGGGCCAAATCTGGAGAGTGGGCTGGCCACTCCAAATCCACTCGAAAAGTAGGCCTCAGCGGCAAAAGCACGTTCCTCACTGTTCCAACACATGATGGTGACTGAACTGTGTCAGGACAAAACTTTATATTCCTGCCCCTCGAACGAGACCACTAGCGCTCTGCTACGTCTTCAACCGACTGATTGGCGCACATTTTAAAAAAGGAAGTTATGCTGCCTCACCCTGTATTTCTTGAATTCAAATAACCTATGCACAGAAGAAGATTTCTGCTGTGTCTCTGTTTACTGTTTCTTCTTTCCAGTCAGCCTGTGTGTGTATGAGTTCAAAAGATACCCTTTGCCATGTCACTTACTGGAAGCAAGGTGTGGGAATGGGATCAGTAGTTAGACTGTGCATTGAATTGATTTATAATTGGCTGTATAAAGCTCCCCCCCCCCCCCTCCCAAAGCCACTTCAAATAATCCTGATTCTGGAGGAGAAATGATGGGCCCCACTGCTTATAACAATTGTTGAAATACATTTGTTTGTACAGAATCTTGTGAAATGGTGTCAGCCAAAGCAGGGGGAAGGTCATAATTCCGCTGTTTTTCTATCTGTCTCCTCAGAACTTAGATAGCAAGGGGATGCGAGACCAGAGGCTGGACTTGCAAAGGAGAGCAGCAGAAACGGGTGATGATGATCTTATTCCATTTGGGGATCGGCCTACTGTTTCAAGGTTTGGTGCCATCTCACGTACATCCAAAGCAATGTACCAGAACCCCGGTCCCATGCAAGCCATGACAGTTCAAGGGGCTTCTACAAAACCAGTTAATATTTCAGGTATACAGCTTATGTCTTTCAGGTCTTCCATCCCATCCCCCAATGTAGTAGTTTACAACAGCAGACACTACAGTTGTGACAGTTGACTGCTGTAGCTGTGCCTGTTGATTGCTGGCTAGAAACAGAACAAGAAGCTTGGTATGAAATAACTACCCATTAACTACCAATAATAAATGGAAGAGTTAGACGTGCTTGTTGTTTCCTCCCTACAATATTTCACTTGCAGAACATTCTGTCTCTCCTTCCCCACCTCCCAATATAATCGAATATAGGCGTTTCCCCCGTTACAAGAGCACGGTGGTTCCCAACCTGTGGTCCGTGGACCACCAGTGGTCCACAAGAATGAAAATATGGTCCATAGCCTCACCATTACTACACAGTTGCCTCGAAACCATGTGGCAACAAGAGTGACTGTTGGTCCGTGAACCACCAGTGGTCTACAAGAACGAAAATATCATCCATAACCTTACCATTACTACACAGTTGCCTCGAAACCACGTGGCAACAAGAGTGACTGTTGGTCCGTGGACCACCAGTGGTCCACAAGAACGAAAATATGGTCCATAGCCTCACCATTACTACACAGTTGCCATGAAACCCTCTTATAGTGCTGAGGCAACGGGGATGTCAGGAGGGGAGAGGCTGACTACCCACAAAAGATTCCTACTTCCACATCAGTTCTAGATTATTAAATACGGTTTTCTGTGGGCAAGCAGGTGACGACTACTGGATGGCATATGTTCTGTAGCAGAAGCAAGAGCTGATGTGGTGTATCCAATGCAGTTTTCTGAATCAGCATCCCAAATAACCAAACTGAATCTAAAGTTGACCAAAAACTGATTCATAACCTTTTGGTACTAATGTTGGAGAATGGTCCTTGGGCAAAGTGGTCCTTGAAAAAGTGGTCCTTGGTCAAAAAAAGGTTGAGAACCACTGCTATCACACGATTTGTGTTGAATAGGGCTTGCTCTTTATATAGTAAGATCAATATCTTATTTAGTTAGTTTTTGTTCTTTTTCTCTTTTTGTTTAAGAGTTGCTTTAGGTTTTTCCCCCAACTTCAATACTTTGCAACTGTGGGCGCATGTTCCTTCAAGTTGCCTGTTGACTTATGGCAACCTCATGAATTTTAAAGTATTTTCTTAGGCCATTAATATTCAGAGGTGGTTTCGCCAGTTCTTGACTTCAACTACAGTACCCAGTATCGATTAGATTTGAACAGATATTTTGAAATACTCCTGCCCTTTTTTCAGTCCTATTTATTTGCGCAATTAATCGTTAGAATTTGATGGCTGTTTAAAAGAGGATAAAAATATGACCAATAATTATTTTGTCTAATATTTACAATGTAAAAAGATGGAGGGCAATGGATCAACAGCAGTGGTCTTCTGTTGTAACATGTTTCTTCCAAAGTTACATTAAATTCAAGATTGCCTTAGAAATAGGGCATCAGTATCTATTTTGCAATTATTTTAATATAAATGATGTTAATAAACCCTTTTATTTATACCTCTCCATCTGTCATAGATTACAGCCCTTATGGAACACACAGTACATGGGGAGGGTCGCCATATTCACCCCATCAAAACATACCCTCTCAGGGACGTCTCAGTGAAAGGTAGGAGCATTTGTACTTTGCTAGTCACTTACATTTTATGTATACCCTGAAAAGTGAAAACTCTTCCTTTTTAACCAAAAAAAAATTATTTGTCTCTAAAGAGAAAGATTATCTGTGACAGAGGTGGCTGGCCATGGGAAGGCTTTGCCCTCATCTGAAAGGGAACAACAACTTCGACTTGAACTGCAACAGTTAAATCATCAGATTAGCCAGCAAACAAGAGGACTGGAGGTGGGTATATATTTCCGCTCTCTCTCGCTTCCTCCCTCCTTCCCATTCATTTTTAAGCAAGGACTGGATGTCAAATAGATAGATAGCTATGTGAATATAAATATATGCCACTTTGGTTATATTATATTCAGTAGTTTTAGAATGAGAACCTTATCACTATTACTAAATAATTTGAAATGTGATCACAAATGTGAAATGTAAAATTCAGGTTACTGTAATTAGATATAAACTGAGTAACAACGGTTGCTTGAAGACTGAAAATTCTGTGTTTGTATGCATGCCAACACTTCCTTTGCTTATGTGTGCGTGCACATGTGTTCTCTGCTCTGCCTCATAGTCAAATTCATATTCTTCTTTTTTAGTGTCTCACTCCCACACATGTGATAGGAGTACATAGATCATACTATTGGGAAACTAAAAAAAGTTTTTGTTTTCTGTCTTTGTTCTTTAGATCAATTAGATATGGAGCTTAGTGACAATACTAGGTAGATAAGTTACTGGATTGTTGTTTCTTACTTACCCGTATATACTTGAGTATAAGCAGAGGCACCTAATTTTATCACAAAAAACTGGGAAAACATTGACTCAAGTATAAGCCGAGGGTGATAAATGCAGCAGCTACTGGTAAGCCTCAATTAATCCAATAGAATTGCATGAATCGAGGCATCAGTAGGTTAAATGTTTTTGAATATTTACATAAAGCTGTAATTTAAGATAAAGACTGTCCAACTCTGATTAAACCATTATTCTAACCTTCTTCAATATAAGTGTGCTTATGTATCCTTCCAATAATAATAGAGTAAAATAATAAATGTAATAAAAATAGTAATAAAAGAGTAAAATAATAAATGTAATAAAATAATAAATGCAATAATAACAATAATAAATAGAATAAACTAATAAATGTAATGATAATAAATAGGGTAAATAATAAATGTAATAATAACAATAAATAGGGTAAAATAATAAATGTAATAAAATAATAAAGTAAAATAATGTAAATGTAATAATAATAACAACAGAGTAAAATAATAAATAACTTTACCTCGAGTATAAGGCAAGGGAGGCTTTTTCAGCCTAAAATGGCTTATACTAGAGTATACACGGTATGTTTCCTGCCCTTTCCTTCCTAGTCTACTAAAAAGTCATCATAGAAGGCTTAACAGTTGATTTGATTTATTGTCGAAGGCTTTCATGGCCGGAATCACTGTTGTTGTAGGTTTTTTCGGGCTATATGGCCATGTTCTAGAGGCATTCTCTCCTGACGTTTCGCCTGCATCTATGGCAAGCATCCTCAGAGGTACCTACCTCTGAGGATCCTACCTCTGAGGATGCTTGCCATAGATGCAGGCGAAACGTCAGGAGAGAATGCCTCTAGAACATGGCCATATAACCCGAAAAAACTTAAAACAACCTAGTTGATTTGATTCCTTGAGATGGCTTTCACTTCTGGTATAGCAATGACTAGAATAGGACATATTAGTCCAGTAATAGTAACAGTCTTTTGAAGAGATGTGAGAGTCAACAGCTACTTCAATTGAAGAATTCCTAGCAGCAGTCACTTATTATCTGTACTGTCCTTGAAGCAAAGGTATCTGGAAGATGTTTAATTATTTGATCATTTCTTAAGGAAAAACTGAGTGTGATACCATGATAAGGAATACTAAAAATGAAAGGAGTTCATGATGGATGGCAGGTTCTAAAAAGTGAGATATTGAAGGTTCAGCTTCAAACAGTTCATATGAGGAGAAAATAGTTGTAAAGAAACTAGGATGAATGTCTAAATAACTTTCAGTGGAGATAAGATTTAAAAAGGATGTGTACACGACATGGAAAAAGGACAAAATCAGTGCAGGAATAACTGGCTATTGTACATGAATTCAAGTCTCCAAGAACAGATGGACTATATCCAAGGATATTAAAAGAGCAGGATGAAGTTCAGAACCTCAGGAGAAGTTCCATCAGACTGTTTCTTTACAAAGTTCTTCTCTCTCAATGATGCAGTAATTTTAGTAGAGCCAGATGTGCTTCAGATAATACAAAATTAATTTAAGTAATGCACTGCCACTAGATGTACAGATGGCTATAAGCTTGGATAATTTCAGAGAACTAATATGTCAATGACTCCGATTATGATATTCTCAAGGCCATCTGTTTGCTACAGGAAATAAAAATACCTTGCTTGCTTTGTCATTTCTCTAACTAAATTTCCTGGTTTCACAAATTGTGCACCAACTTGAAATTAGAGCTCAAACAAGTTTTTGAAAGGTCAGGATGTTTCATAACTTTTATCTCTGATTCCAGTGAATCATTATTTAATTATTAGTAAAACTTTTTTGGGAATGATGGCTTTTGGAACCCAGCAATATTCTGCATTTTTGGCCTGATTCCCAATGTCTGCATGGTGTATTCTGTCTGCTGAGTGATGTATGTGCTTGGCTTTGTGCACTTAGGGTGTTAGTAACAGGCTGATGTTGCAGAGAGAGGCGAATGCCTTGGCAGGCCAACCACAGCCCCCGCCTCCTAAATGGCCTGGAATGATCTCAAGTGAACAGCTGAGCTTGGAGCTTCATCAGGTGGAGAGGGAAATCGGGAAGAGAACTCGAGAGCTGAGCATGGTGAGCACTTTATAGGGGAGCAAAAGGGATGTAAGAGGTGCTGCTGCTATTGCTACTGCTTGGTTAGTTGTAGTGTTTTTTCATACATCATAAGGAGGTGCTCTCTTTTGATATTTTCAGCCACAATGTTAGACATTCTCAATGTTAAGGAGCCTGGAATGATTTTTTTAAAGATTTGTAACTTACATAGTTTTGTTTTACTTCAGAAGCAATGTTTATGAGCAACCATATTCAACTGTATAGCAAAGAACAATACAGCTGAATATTGATTGACAGCAAATAAGTGCTTTTTCAGCAGGCTATGTGTAATGAATCCTTTACCTTAGCTAGCTGGCAAAAGCCTAAGGAAGTGGGCCTGACGAAGCCATGGCATCCATTTTGGAGAAGGGAGACAGGGAGAAGACATCTTTGGTTAGGTTTGCCTTGAGGGGGTATGTTCTAGTCTAGGAGGGAAAATCAGAAGGTTAGGATTGGTTAGGAAGATGGGGGCAGAGCCTAAGTGATCTAAAGGAAAAAGTGTCTTTTAAACTGAGGTTTGAAGTCCCAGTTTGCAAGTTGAAATTTGGAATGGGTAGAGAGAAGAAGCGTGGGTGTTAGTGAAAGCAGTTTGGGTTTTGAAGAAGTTTGGGTCAGTCTTTTGTGTAGTATTCAGAACAGTTATTGAGTAAATAGCTGGAATACTGTTTGGAGCAGTACCCAGTTAGTGGTCTGTTCAATTCCTAAGGAAGGCTAGTTCAGGTTTTTGGCTAGATACCTAAGGGACATTTTTGGAGTTACTTTCAGAGATTTATTTCCTGAAGTAATTTTCTGTGTTGAAACTTTTAAGACTTGTAACCCAGAAGTTTTTAAGATCTTTACTCAAACGCAACCATAAGCATTTTATGCCAGTACTTTACTGAAACCATTAAGCATTTGTACCTGAATATTTGGAGCCTGTTCAATAAACGTTCTTGTTATTTTTATCAACTTATACCAGCCACAGTGTGAATACCTTTGTGGTCAAAGCATTATTCAAGTCAGCTTTTAACATCCTCTAAGAAAACTATAGTGACACAGAGTGCGTTACTGAACAACCTCTCAGTAATACCTCAGCCTGTTTATTATTAATATGGTGGCAGCGGAAATCTTTGAAGAATCATTTTAAGTCTCTCAGTTCCAGTGGTTCCCAGTTCCTAACTTTTAAATAAACAGTTGGTTCAGCAACCATGCTCCCTCTATATTTTTGGTGAGCTAGTCTGTAATGGAGCTGTTATCGTTATAATTTGGCTGAGCAGCATTGGGATTATTTTATATATATTTCCCCGTATATAAATTTAATTTAAAATCTTCCCTACTACTCTCTGTATTGTTATACTCTGCCATGCAACAATACCCATTTCAAGAGCATATGGAAAGGGAAGAGTATTGTACAACCTGTAGACTTCTTCAGTCTTGGTTACCTGATATTTGTGTGTTTTGGAAGCTTGATATCTTGATCAACTAGATAAGGACAAGTATGTCTAGGCTTATGCTTCCTTGTGCCGTGGCTTTTGTGTGACTTGGACTGTATAATTTAGTCTGCAGAACTACAGTTGTCCTTTTTTCTCAGCTGTGGAACAAGCTGTTAGATGTGTTTTAAAATAGTAAATTGAACATTTTTCTTTTCTTTCCCCTAGGAGAGTCAGTCTTCACTGGATATTAAAAGCAAAGTGGGTGCCAGTAAGCAGTCAGAAAATGGACAACAAAGCAAGGTCCAAGCTGAAGACCTTGGAGGGGCATTCAGGTAACAGAACAACTTTTTTAATAAAACTGGCTCAGATTGTGACATTATGCATTAGGCTATGTGCTTTACCTTTGCAAGTGTGATTGGAAACTGCAGGAAAATGAGAAAGAGCATTTATATCCCCAGTAGCCTCAGTGTACTTTTCCTAGGGAGACTAACTCTTCTTATTAGCCTGCTTTAGGAATGTCAGTATGACAGTGGTTTTAGCTCTTCAGAAATATTATTATACGGGACTGCCTTAGACCTAATAACCAGACCAGCAAAACATCGGATCATTGAAGTCAGATTTGGCTTTACTTGCTACATGTTGGGACAAATGCTTGACAAGCTCTTCCATTGCAACACAGCAGATTAATAACACCCCAAGGCTTCATGGATTCTTTTGGCTTTTTGGCTTGCATGTTACATATGTCTTTTCTATGTATTTGATGCTTACTGTATGACAAATAATTTAACATAGCAAAATATCTCATATGCTTTCCTCATTTTCAATTACTTGATTGTACTTATTTGTGGAGGTGAGGAAGTTGAATGTCAACTATAGCATGGTTCCCAACTTTTGGTCCTCCAGGTTTTGGAACCTCCCAGAACTCCCCACCTTCTTGGCCAACTGCCAGGAATTTGGAGAGCTGAAGTCCAAAACACCCGGAGGACAAACAGACAGAAACTCTTGTTCTACAGTGGAGCAGCATTAACAAGTTCATATTGAGCGTTAGTTTCTTACTGAACTTATAGCTATAGAAGTGGTGGTTTCCCATGTATTTCTATGGCATTTACTTTCAATATGCTGAAGTTAAATTCTAATGTTTTATTGGTAAAAAAGTGGCCTACATCAATGTGTTTATCAGAAGTGTTATATGTCATTGAACTTCATTGAATAGCTATGCCAAGACATTCTTTAATGAGTTGAATGTACATTTATTTATTTATTTATTTACGACATTTATATGCTGTCCTTCTTACCCCAAAGGGAACTCAGAGAGGCTTACAAGGTATATATACATACAATACATTATATTATTAGCATAGTACAATATCAGTATTAAATATGGAGCCCCTGGTGGTGCAGTGGGTTAAACCCCTGTGCCGGCAGGACTGAGGACCGACAGATTGCAGGTTCAAATCCGGGGAGAGGCGGATGAGCTTCCTCTATCAGCTCCAGCTCCTCATACGGGGATGTGAGAGAAGCCTCCCACAAGGATGATAAAAACATCAAATCATCCGGGCATCCCCTGGGCAACGTCCTTGCAGATGGCCAATTCTCTCACACCAGAAGCAACTTGCAGTTTCTCAAGTCACTCCTGACACCACAAAAAAAGTATTAATTATTACTATATTGTACTATACCATTATATTGTAATATTATGAGTAATATTACATGTAATATAAATATATAATTATAATATCATACTATTATTAGTATTATATTGCATTACATTATAATATTATAAATATATGTATATGCAATACATTATATTATATTATATTACATTATATTATATTATTAGGATAGCACAGGAGACAAGGTGGAATATTCTCACTTCCCTTCCCTATGCCCTAATTCTACTTTCTAAAGATGACTTTGAAAAGGAACAGCTAGGGGAGTAAGCTTTGGACTTCGCCATGTTTTTGTCATTTGTCTAGTAATTGTCACTGTTCATGCTCCACTTGAACAGGTCTTAGCATATCACCCTAGTTACTGAAATACTGAGGTTGGTAGATCCAAACAGGTCAAACATTTGGGTGTTGTGTGGTTTCTGGGCTGTATGCCCATGCTCTAGCAGCATTTTCTCCTGATGAGAAAAAATTTTCCTTACGTCTGTGGCTGGCATCTTCAGAAGATCTTCAGAGGATGCTAGCCACAGATGCATGCATAGCATCAGGAGAAAATGCTGCTAAACACAGCCATACAGCCTGGAAACCACACAACACCCCAGTAATTCCGGCTGTGAAAGCCTTTGTCAATCAGATGCAACATCACTAGGTAAATTGAGGATGTGGAAGTAGGTATGTACTCGCTTTTACAATGCAAGCAAAACACTTGGGAGAGTATATTTTCCTTTAATGTGTGAAGGTGGATCTAGCCAAAGTGGTCCACGCCTTAGTCACCTCTAGACTGGATTACTGCAATGCACTCTACATGGGGCTGCCCTTGAAAACGGCCCGGAAATTTCAGATGATCCAATGGGTGGCAGCCAGCTTGTTAACTGGGGCTCCTTACAGGGAGTGGTCATCCCTCCTGTTCAAGGAGATCCACTGGCTGCCATTCATCTACTGGACCCAATTCAAGGTGCAGGTTCTTACCTACAAAGCCCTGAATGGTTTGGGACCCGCCTACCTGCGTGACCGCATCTCTGTATACGAACCCACACAATCCCTTCGATCATCTGGAGAGGCCCTGCTCTCGATCCCACCAGCATCGCAGGCGCGGTTGGTGGGGACGAGAGAGAGGGCCTTTTCGGTGGGGGCCCCTCGACTCTGGAACTCACTCCCTAAAGACATCAGACAGGCTCCAACTCTGGCAGTCTTCAGGAGGAGCTTGAAGATGTGGCTGTTCCAGTTTGCCTTCCCAGAATAATGATCCCATAGCACTTTGTCCTCCAGCACTTTACATTTCTTTAGGTCTGCTTGTACGCCCTTCCACAAACACCAGTATCACCTTTTGTCCATGTCCCAGCATTATTTCCAATTTTAACTCTACATTTGGCCTTCCCACTGATTTTAATTGTGTATTGTCTTATTGATAATGTTGTGTATTTTATTGTCTATGTTTTTTAATTGCTTGCATTGTTGTTGTTATTGCTTGTATTGTTGTGTTTGGGCTCGGCCTCATGTAAGCCGCACCGATTCCCTTGGGGAGATGGTAGCTGTTATTATTGTTATTATTGTGTTGTTATTATTATTATTATTATTATTATTATTATCTGGTTTTACTCTATTAAAATTCATTTAAAATTTTGATAGAAATGGCTTTAACAAACATATAATTTGAAAGCAGTTTCACTAAAGTTCAACATGGGTTTTTTACGTTCAGTGATTTTGTACAGTATTTAGAGCTCTCAATGTGACTCTAAGGCTGCGTTATTTTACTATGGTGTCATAACCTCATGATAGATCATTATTGATATTCTGGCATAATGTAGACAGTCATGTTAAAGGTCTCAATTTTACTCTGTTTCTCTCTCATGCTTCCCTACTTAATTGCTACTGGTGTTCATTTTCCTTTTTGGCATTTTTTCCTCAGCAGTGACGTTCCAAATGGATCAGCTTCGACCCAGGAAAATATTGGCCTTCTTATGAACAAAACTACAGCTCTGAGTTTGTCGGAGGATACTGAAGAGGGAGGAGAAGACCAGGACGCGCAAAGGACTGGAGCCATGCCTGCTTCTGCTCCCTGAAGGAACAGGAATATCCCTCTGCTTCTGTCAGAGGCTACAGTGTCCTTTCCTTGGGATAATGGGAGGCAGTGGGCAAGGACTGCAACAGCGGCAAGTCCTGAGACAATGTGCACACCATCACTACTAGAAACAAACCCTGCACATAGTTCACATTAACACATTTTTTAATTAAAAAAAATGAAAATTAGCAGTATCTGCAAGCAACTCAGATTAAATTTGTTTTTGTTCTGTGAATGAACTTTATTTTAATAACTTTGGATGCCTTGGATGCCAGGGCTTTAAAAAACAGAATATATATATAGGTATATGTATATGTATACATATATATGTATATGTATATATATATGTATATATATAGAGACACACAGACACTCTGTTTGTTTGATTAATTGTATGATCTTAATGAGGTAGATTTCTCTTTTATTTTGGTATTATTACATACCCAGTGTATAATTCCTTCTAGGCTTCTTTCCTTTCCCCTTCCAAACAACCTCACTCACTACTGCTTTGGGGTGAGTTTCAAATGAAAATAGGAAATGTAATCTGGGGTAGGAAGCTCCAAATTTCCTGTTCCTGTAGCGTTTCGGAAAGTAACTCTCCTCATAGATGCTAGATCCTGCCATTACCAATAATATTTTTAAAGCTTTGAAACTTTGTGAAGTGTTTTACATGACTTTCGCAGTAGCAAACATCATAGAATACACACACACACACACAAAAAAACCATCAGAGTTGAAATGTTTTAACTTATTTCTGAAGAAAGTGGCATTGCTTAGCAGTTCATTTGATATAAAATAAAATGTATTGAACTTACCGCCTTTGAAAGGCAGCACATGTATACTAGCTGCACTGATGGGTAGATGAAAAACAGTCACAATTTAAGTAGGGTTTTTTAAAAAAAATAATAATCTGGAAATAAGTGTAGGTGTGAATTTCAATGACATAAAGATGTGGGGAGCAGAATGGGAAATGAAGGTTATTTTCCTTGTTTCTTTGTTAATGTCCAAAGCAGAGATTCTGCAATTATTTGGTGCATCATAAAGGTGGATTATATTTAATGATACTATAATGTCAGGAAGGTTTGGCATCAGCATATGTAGAGAGCTGCTACAGTTTGATTTTGGATATGATTGACAAATGTGGAGATGAGAAATGCAGGCTCCTACTTAGCATTCCTTCTTCCAATCTTGATTGTACCCAAACCTGCTCTTAAATGTCATTGGTCTATCTTGAGGGGAACTCACTGTCAGCTTCAATGTCCGACAGTCCGAGCCTCCTCTGGATAAGAGAAAGAGTTGGCCTCCAAGAAAATAATACTCTTTGTGTTTACTTTCACTAATTCTGTCTTAAAAACAACACTCTTCAGGATTTGCATAAAATGGAAACTCTTCTCACTTCTGTAGATTCCGTTGTTCTTCTTCAGATGCCACTGTTACATGCTATGCACATTTTGACTTCCTTCTTCCTCACTCTCCTGCCTTTACATGGGCTGAGATACACTGCGTGGAAATCCTTTTTAAAGCTCTTGTGCATCTTTTAGACCTTTTTCTCCATGTAAATTGTGCTATTAAATCTTGGGAAACACTGGCTATGTAATAAGTTGAAGCATTGCTTTGGTTGGGTAAAAGCCGAAGATTATTAATCTTGTTTTAGGTTATTTTCCTTCCTTTAAGGTCCCTTAAGGTAAAACCATCTGTCAGCTGTTTTGCATCGATATGATAAAACAAAATGGGAGAGGGTACAGCCTACTTGTTGCCTACCAGTAGGAGATTCCAGGCAGAAATCTCTTCTGACTAGTGATTATTTATGTTGCTTAGTCAAGGCACCACATTTATATACTATTTCACATTGAATTTGATTCTATCCTATGGAGCTCAGTGACTAGAAATCTTACAAATTGGCTTGCAATTTGAGCATTTGGGTTTTTTTATTTAAATAAATAAGTAAATATTTGTGTATATATACCCACACATATATATGTTGTTATATCTTTATATACACACATATATATTGGGAATGTTTTAATGATTTTACATGAAAGCAGCTGTTATGAAGCATCTGGAAGGTAGAGGCATTGGAAAGAAATTTCAAATGGCTTTTGAACTCTCATCCCTTTCCTTTTTCTTCAGCTATGCTCTCTGTGTCATATGTCGGAAATATTTTTCCTTCATTCCCGTCACCTCCATATCCTTCCACTAATATTTGATAGAGCAACTTTCATTTAAATTAGGTTGAGAATGTTCATCACAACTTTCTTCTTAGTGAAGCAGACTGAGAATAATATGCGATATAATACCTAGTTTGACTAACTTTCTTTGTAAAGGTTCTTGTCCATTTACACAAGCAGATAGTTTTGTTTAACCTCTGTCAACCCCATTGATATTGGCTTATTTTCCTGTTTTTCCTCTCCCTTTTAGGTAAAAATTTTAATGACCACATTTTCCATGAACCAAGTACATTATTCTTAATGTGAAGTACCTAGTCCAGAACATAGCTGTCTTGCCTTTGTTTAGAAAATAAAAGTCTGGTTAATATATATTAGAAGGGAGATGTTTTTCTGTTCTGATTAGTCTTTACTGACTAAGGGGAGAAAGAATATACATTTTCATTGAAATCTATATAGATGTATATACTAACTGTAAAGCAGGACCATATTGGTTTGCTCAGCTGTCCCTTATCTACATGTATTCACTAGACCATTTCTAATATGAATATGCCTGTACAGACTCTGCATTGTATGGACACTTGTATGGTCACGGACATCACAAGTAACAACATTTCTACACATGCCTGAATTCCCTTCTGTACATTAACTCATTGTAACACATGGAGGAATGTGTAGAGTGTGTGACAATTGTATTATTGACACAGATAGAGACTTTACTCCTATAAACTTAGGCGTTCTGAGTGTGAGCTTGCAAAGGAGGCTTTTAAATATTTGTCCCACTGCTTTCCCGTAGTTGTACTTTGTGTGCGGTATTCTATCTAGTTGAATGTCCTGTTTACACTAGCAGATAGTTTTGTTTAACCTCTGTCAACCCCATTGATATTGGCTTAGTTTCCTGTTTTCCCTCTCCCTTTTAGGTAAAAATTTTAAAGGTGAATTCATGGAATTAGGGAAAAAGGAGATTTGGTGAAATTATCTTTCACTTGAAAAAATTAGTGTAACTCTCACCTGGCTTTTTTTATAAACTACTTTTTCTTGTGTTTGTACATTGAGATTTTGCATTACCATTTAATACGTAGAGAAGATAGAAATACTTGCTTCCAAGTTAGTAAGCAAATTGAGGAAATACTGAGAAATTTCTGTTATGCAATAACTGAGTGGCTTCCTAAAATCAGTCTTCAGAATCTTTGAAATTAGAAGTAGATAAACTTCAGAAATATAAAAATATGCTGGTGATCTCACTGCATCAAAACAATTCTTCCCTTGTATGTAGTTACTATCAAGTGGTAGAAATCAGGCCCATAAAACCTTCACCTTATGTATCCATATCTGGGGCCCTACAATCTCTTTGTCTTCACATCAGCTTCAAATCCTATACTTTTGGTCACTGAACAGATCCGAAAATCTTTGCCTTCCATCAGCAAGGATAGAAACAAAATATATGTGCATGTTTATGCCATGATCATAGGTAAGCACTTCACAGACCTTTGTTTTTGCATTTCATATTAGGTTTAATTAGAATTAGACTCACAGTTATGACTAGTTAACCACTCTGAGATTAACACTGTAGTGTTTGTGTTATTTTTACACTCCTTGTTACCTTTAAACACAGTTAGAATGCATATAAACTGAACAAGATGTTGTCTTCATACTTATCTACTAATACATCATAAAGTAGGTTTTGTCATGTGTGCTTATTTAAGCATTGATGATTTAATATCAAGCATGTTTTGTGAAAGATTACAGGTAAATTTATAAGAATTTAATTTACGGCCCAGATTTCAGAATAACATTAAAGCAATGACTTGGTGTACGCAGAAATATAATTCTGCTATTTTTCAGGCACATTTATGAAAGGATGTTCCTTGTTCCTTTGAAAACAAATGTATCGTAGGTAAAAGTAAACATACCTTTCTGTTCATAGTCTCTCACATCCACTTAAATGGTTTAGGACATGGAGGACTTGTAGTATCCCTTCTATCTTTGTTCCTTTGAAAACAAATGTATCATTGGTAAGAACAAACATATCTTTTTGTTAGTCTCTCACATCCACTTAAATGGTTTAGGACATGGAGGACTTGCAGTCTCCATTCTAACTTTGTTCCTTTGAAAACAAATGTATCATTGGTAGGAACAAACATACCTTGTTGTTCTTGGCCTCTCACATCCACTTAAATGGTTTCGGACATGGAGGACTTGCAGTATCCATTCTAACTTTGCTATTCTTGTCTTTTCACCTATCTTCTGGCATGCCCTATCATCCTCTCTGATCATGCACCTATTGACAGCTTGCTGCCTCAAAATAAAGCGTTCAGATGAATTTGCTTAGCCAATAACTTCTGTGAAGTTGCCTTTTCTAACGGTGTTATTACTCAGTGATGCACAATTGTGGTATTGCCCCTACTGGTAGGCAAATGAGGGGGTCTGTATAAATGTGGAAAATATCTCTTTTTTTCCTTCAAGGAGAGCCAAAGACTTGTACTTCATTCATGATTTGTTTTGGTTTTTTGTTTTCCTTTCCTGCAATCTACTTTACTGCTCTAGCCAGACTGAATGGAAAATCTTGTGATATTTTGTTTTCAGCTCTTAAGAGTGGTAGAACAATGTAAAAACTCATGACTGTCAAACCGTCGAAACATATGTTCGATGATGGTGAATTATAGAAGCACATTTCAGAAATGATGTGTTTAAGCATCAGTATGCTTGCAGCCATTTAACCTAATTCCTTTAGTCCTTTTACAAAAATATCTTGAACATCCTATCGGAGAAAGGGCTTATTTTTTAAAAGTTCCTGTTTAATTTCATTGCCCCTGCTTGAAATTTTCTAGTAAAAGCAATTATAGGAATATGTTTTAAATAGAAACTGAAGCAAGACTTTAAAATAGAAGTAGCATCAAATGGAAAGAGATTGAGAAAAATAATTGCATAAAAACACACACCGCATGCTTATTTTCCCAGGCAGATTTGAGGTGTTTAGCTGCAGGAAGTATGTTGAGTTTTATCCTGGAAATGTGATATCATCTACCCATTTGTCTGAAGCATTACAGCAACCCATTCGGTTAGACACTCCTCAGTGCGTTCACCATAAAGTCAACCATATGTAAGTGAAAAGCACCATATTTATGGTTTTGCTAATTTTGGATGCATGGGGTATTTTAAAAGTAAGCAGTCCCATAGAGTTATCTTCCTAATCATTCTCAATATTATCAGTTACTTGCATTGTGGTCTATATATGTTTATGTATTTTATATAGCTTTTTCCATTTCCTGAGATAGCCCTGGCCAGTTTTAATCTGCCCGTTCTTTTAACCTTCAGCATCCATGCCCACAACTTGCATACTATTGTAAGCAGGATTCCTAATTTTATACCTGGGATGTAACATGAGTAAATAACTATGGGAAGAGTGGGGTGGGAGTTCTGTGTATTCTCTCCCTTTTTCTAATGGTGGCAGGCAAAAGCACCAAATTGTGACCTGACAGACCTACCCAGATCAGATACCTAGATATTTGTTGGATTATTATGGTTTACTAACTCAAAGGTTAATATTATTAATTAGTCTTTGTAGCATTGGGGTGATTGTTGACAGCATTTATATTACGCATCCAGTCTCCATATTGATTTGTTCCAGAAAGAACTCCAGAAAATTACACATTGAGTATATTTGGATAATATTGGTAATGCATGGTTTAATGTTAAAAGTGTGAGCCACATCAGTAATGAAGTCGATATGCTTCCCTCTCAAGGCAGCCATGAAAGTGAGGTAGTTTTTTATTTCAGTTTCATACTAGATGCAGCGTGTTGTGTTTACAGAACACGGCAGAACTCTGATTAATCTGTGATTAGTTGAAATAAGCTGACTTCAAATTGTAGTTTTATTATACTGGCTTCTTTGAACAAATCGTAGGTTGAGATGAACCACACTTTCGTATTTGGAAATTGTAGGAAGTCCATCATTTGTAAGACATGAATCGCGGCTAACTAAATTTCTTATAGAGAGCAGAATTTATATATATATATATATATATATATATATATATATATATATATATATATATATATATAGAGAGAGAGAGAGAGAGAGAGAGAGAGAGAGAGAGAGAGAGATATCATTGAATAGGAACCCAGAAAGCTCTCTCAAATTCACCATCAGCCCGGTTTGTGGACTGACCTGGTTTTGTTTGGAATTCAATTTGAATATTCAACAGCAACTTGTTGAGTACTTATCAGCTAAATAATACAATCTGAGAAGCAACAAGTATTTATCCCTATTTGCTTAATCATCCTAGAGATGATTCTGTACTTACTAGAAGGGCCATATTGGCGAGGTGCAAAAGTTACACTGAAACGAGAAATGCTCCCTTCCCTTACTACTGCAATGAGGTTTCTGTGATATTATGTTAGATATGGCAATGGACTTTTGCTGTTTTAATGTTATGGCTGAAATAATTGCATTTTTAATTTCTTTTTGAGATTTTGAGAGGCAGTGATCATTCCCAGTTTTCATTGTGATGATATCTTAAGATTTTAGTAATAGCATCAGTAACTAATTGATGGTTGGATAGCTTCTGTTCTGATGATTAATACAAGTTTTCTGTGTTTAAATAACCTACATATGTATGGCTGCTTTTTTCCACAAACAAAAATGATCTAATTTTAGGTTAAAAAAATATTACAAGTTTGGGTTTTTTCCAAAAGAAAAAAAATACGTAATTCTGGAAATTAAAGTATTAGACATGCTGATGTTACATGTATACATATCTTTTATAAAAACAAAATCCTGTGGAGTATTTGGTGTTTGCTATAAACAAAATTTGTTTGCTTTTGTATATGTTAAGGTGATGTTCGGCACAACTGTAAATGGGAATGTCTTCCACTCAGATCCTACTGACTGTGTGGGATGCGTGCAAGAAGACCTTCTCTGTGCCCTCTTGTTGTTAATGTTAGTTTGTTGTGGCAGACAATACTCACAAGTCTTTGGCATCCAAAACCAGATTGTGTAACTGGATCAGAATCCCACAACTGGATTTACATAGGAGCTCTTACCAAGTATAGCATTAGGTAAGACAGCCAGGGATGAAGAGCATGATTTACTAGTAATGCAAACTATGTTGCCTGCTGTCTTTACAGCATTCTGTTTCAAGCTCTATACACAACCCATAAAGGGATTCTCTGCTGCCTATTGTGAGTTTACAATTGCCTTGCAGTCTCTGCTTGCTATGTAAGCAGCCTCTTTGCTAACCATGTACCCCTTTCCTTGAAGGCAACCTTATCAACAGCATGGTGGCATTTTTATTACTTTTCAAAGACTAGCAGTCAGTAATCCAGATTTTGCTCTTTGTTTTTTGATCATCAAGCCTTCCCCACTCTTCCTTCAAGAGTCCCCTGGCCATTTCCAGTTGTGGGATTTCTTTATATGTGTGTGCATTCTTTATGGTTCTGTGTGTGAGAGGGGAGGGGGGATTAAGCCAAGTTTCCTTTGGTCTTTTTAGGATTGTACCAGTCTCCCAGAGACATTCTTAAGTCATTATCACCTTTTTGGGTGGAATTCATTTTTTTTAATAACTTTTTTGACATTTCGGTGCATATATGCTTGGGATAAAGCTCATGTAATTTACCAATCGTATTGATTGTATGTGATTGTGCCCTGCAGAGGTATATTTAACAAAAAATAAAATTGAAAAAAAAATTAAAACAGTCTTATGTGATGTTGATAATAAAGACTCCAAGACAATTTGAAGAGTTGGCAAATTTGCTTCGTGTTTACAGATGTGATCACAATTTCCATATATTCTGGCATATAAGACTACTTTTTAACCCAAGAAAATCTTCTCAAAAGTCAGGGGTTGTCTTATACATGGGAGTAGCCATATACACGGGAATCATCTTATATGCTGGAGTAGCTTTATGCATGGGAGTCGTCTTATATGCTGGCGTGGTCTTGTACATCGGGAGTCGTCTTATAGAGCGAGTGCTGAAACTTCCAATATGGATTGAAGAATCTGTGGTTGCTGCATATTGTGGGGGGAGCTCAAAATTGGCAGTGGCTGTGTCCCTGCCGTTTGCAGCGACTGTATGAAAGCATTAAGGACGACACTATACAAGAATGGTGGAAGAAAATCCATTCATCAGGATTCGTGGACTTAATGCAGTCCCGATGGTGAGGTGAAGGGGCGCCTCACCGGGAAGGTCTAAGTAAAGGGTGGAGTAAGCTGCAGACGTCCGGGGCGCCCGGGGTATGGGAAAAAGAGATAGAGTGGCTCTGGGCCCAGAAAAACACAACTCTTTTACCTGTCTGGCCCGCCCTTGTATCCTATTACTGTACCTCCTCCTCTGCCTCTCAGATCTCGCTCCTGAAGACTGCAGTGAAGTGGTGCAGGTGCGCATGTGTGAGATCTGAGAGGCAGAGAAGGAGGTACGGTAATAGGAAAATTACCATATTGAAATCAAATCTGATGCTTTTTTTATTTGGTGTGTGTTGGAAGAGGGGTAGTCTTATACGGTGAGTATATCCCAAAGTATATTTTAACTGGAAAAGTTGGGGGTCATCTTGTACGCCCAGTCGTCTAATATGCTGGAATATAAGGTACATTTGGCATTAATTTCTTCCCTCAAACCTTTGCTTCCCTCTATCAGTATCTTGTAATAGGCTTCTCTCACTCCCCCCCCCCCCCATCATGAAATGAGCATCCTGAGTTTGCAACCTGTCAAAATGATAACAAGGTAGGCACTTCACTGTTTCAGTAGGTATGTTGGGAGAGTATATGTGTGTGGCTTGTTTCTTATTATGCTGTATAAACCACCACTAAACATTTTCTGGGAATGGGACAGGAATTATTTAAAATAATCCCATTTTATACTTATACTTGCCCTCATCTCTCCCTCCGGAATTGTGGAGGCTACAGTTTTGTGAAGCATTGGAAGTCTCAGGTGGATATTCTTCTTTTAACCCCATCTCGGCCCTGTGATACATTTCTCATTGTTCCCTAGGAGATCACGGCATGACTGTCGAAAGTAGTAGAGCTGATATGGAGGCCTGTATCAATTTCACTGACACTTTTCATTATGTGTTTGTTGTCGAAGGTTTTCATGGCTGGAATCACTGAGTTGCTGTGAGTTTTCCAGGCTGTATGGCCATGTTCCAGAAGCATTCTCTCCTGATGTTTTGCCCACAACATGGCATGGCCATACAGCCCAGAAAACCCACAGCAACCCATTGTGTGTGTGTTTTTGTCACTTGTTCACTTCTGGCGGCCCCATAAATTCCATAGGGATTTCTTAAGGAAGAAATATGTGTTTTCCCCCATTCTCTCCTCTGAAATGCAGCCCACATTACCTAGCACTACTCAAGCTATCTACCTCTCCATCCTACATACACCCCACCTGCACAAGATGTACTTTTGTCCATAGGTTCATTCAGAGACACCATTCTAATGTCCAGGTCCTCCAGGAGGACAGGTCTGGTGGGCACTCCTTTCTTTACTCTTCGGCCTTGTGAAGACCTTAGTGTTGCCAAAATTGCAACAAGGTTGCATCACATATTTTGCAACCAAAGAAAGAGAGGGCTGATTTTTGGAATGACTATGTTCCATCACAATTTCTCTAACATTATTGAGTATGTGCATTTTTGGTCTCCCCAAGTTGAACATTAAAGCTGGTCTCAGCTCAAACATTGCTTTGCTCCACTGTGTGTTTAACCTGATTTAAAAGGTCATTAGACTTTGATCTTCATGGCCTTCCCAATCCCTTTTCCCTCCCCTGTCCTTGTTTTGGCTTTGGCTGACAACAGAAAACAGCTAGGAAATCTCTCAGCTGATTGATTGGGACGATCTTTATCTAAAGCACAGAAAACACAGACGCCAGGCTTGTGCTTGTCCTGTTTCACAGAAGAGAAAGAGAAATGGAGGTAAGAGATCCCTGATCTATGTTTAACCTTTTTTTAAAACAACAAAAAACAGCAAAAATTATACTTCCGCTAGAAACAAGAAACTAAGGTTTATATATAAGTGAATATTGCAGCCTATGTTTTATATATAGTAAATACCAAGTAAATTAACTGGATAAATTATAGCAAGAGTGTTTGTTGTGTATATCATGAAAAACTTAAATCGTTTTCAAAGAAATGAATTTACCATAACACTGGATTATCCTCGTGCATTTCCTGTAAGGACACGAGGCTTTTGGAGAAATTGGATGGTTTCCATTTGCCATGGGGGCAGATGAGGCTGTATTTTATTTTCCTTTCTGTTTAATGTGCACACTGTAGATGTTATATGTAAAACAGGATTAGAGGAAGGAGGCTTGAAAATTGGGAGAAAGGAAAACCAGTAATTTAAAATGTTCAGCTCACACCATTTTAATTGCAGAAAATAGCAGCAATGTGGAACGATTAATGAAAAATGTCAAGGAAGAAAATGCAAAGGCAGGTTTACAGCTGAATGTTAAGAAAACAAAAATAATGACCACAGATGATTCATAAAACTTTAAAGTAGATCATGAAGACATTGAAATAGTTCAGGGTTTTCCATACCTTGGCTCTGTCTATCAGAATGAGGACTGCAGTCAAGAAATCAGAAGACTAGAACTTGGAAGGGCAGATAGGAAGGAACTAAACCAGATCCTGAGATGTAAAGATTATCCTCAGAATATTTAAGTGAGATTAATATCAGGGAGTACTAAAAAGAAAATGAAATTGATTCTATAACAAATTAAGCCTGAAGTCTCCTAGAAGACAAGATGACAAGATGACTAAACTGAGATGCTTGTTCTTTGGCCAAATCATGGGTAAACATGACACACTAGAAAAGACAATAATGCTTGGTGAAGTAGACCTCAGTAGAAAAAGGAGAAACGCTGCATTATACAGTAGATGGAAGCCATGGTTCTGAGTCAGAAGGACCTGATGATAGGTGATCTGAGGATCTCATCCATAACCCTAAGGAGCCCCTGGTGGCGCAGTGGGTTAAACAGGACTGAAGACCGGACTGAAGACCAACAGGTCGCAGGTTCGAATCTGGGGAGAGTGCGGATGAGTTCCCTCTTTCAGCTCCAGGTCCTCGTGCGGGAACATGAGAGAAGCCTCCCACATAGATGGTAAAAACATCAAAACATACGGGCGTCCCCTGGGCAACGTCCTTGCAGACAGCCAGTTCTCTCACACCAGAAGCGACTTGCAATTTCTCAAGTCACTTCTGACATGACAAAAAAAAAATCCATAGGGTTGCCATAAGTCAAAAGTCAATTTGAAGGCTGTTATAAACAATAGCTTTTTCTTCTGCCAGATACAACTCTTTTTAAGTTTAATTCTATTCTAATGGTTAAAGGCTTCTAATTGGAGATCTCAGTTCTCAAGGAATTTCTTATATTTACGCCCAACTCACTTGTCTGGCAAAGGTGAGGTTGCCTGTTAGGGGGTTATAAAATAGTGTACAGGGTGGGGAAATTGATGGGAAATGTTATTGTTGTTATAAAATTAGATAATGGTGCCGTTCAGGTGGGAATTTCATGATAAAAGTACTTCATGGCTACCAGCCTAGCTGATTTTAAAAGAGCTGTTTGTTATCAACATATTGAGGATATCTTGCTCGAAACCAGTGGCTCTCAACCTGTGGGTCCTCGGATGTTTTGGCCTAAAACTCCATAAATTCCAGCTGATTTACCAGCTATTAGGATTTCTGGGAGTTGAAGGTTGAAACATCTGGGTACCCACAGGTTGAGAACCACTGTTCTAAACTGATGGTTTCACCAAGCAGTTTTCTAGAAATATTAAAAACCATCTATATAAATAAAAATGTAATGTTCGTTTGTGGGATTAACATAACTCCAAAACTACTGGATGAATTGACATGAAATTTGGACACAATACCCCTATCAGGCCAACGAGTGACCATTATTCATAAAAACACTGACAAACACAGCGGAAGGGACTTTTAACACCCTAAAAAGAAACACACACACACAAAGCAGAACAGACTTTAAAACCCCTCGAAATAAACCATACATACATGTACACATACATTCATATACAGACACACACACATATATATACACAAGCTCACACAAATATACACACACATATATATATATACACATATATATATACACATATATATATACACATATATGCATATACACAAGGGCACACATACACACAATATACATATACACACAGGGCCGTAGCCAGAAAAAAATTTCGGGGAGGGTTGACAATTTGGGGGGGGGGGGGTTGAAACCTGCCTCCTAGCTCACGCTGAAGCAAAGAGCACAGCAGGGGGCAGAGCAACCTTCAGTAGCCTGCAGCTCCACCCCTGTCAACCACTTCCACCAAGTCTGTCCTCCTTAATGAGTTGCTTGGTTGCTTCAGTACATCGGCTATTGCTGCAAGTAATGACAGTGTGAATAAATTGTCAATATTTGCTTGAGATAGTGCTTACAGTTCTGGAGGGACTCTTAATTTTTTGCATCTCATAGACTTAGGATGGGGATTTGGTTAACCAGTTAAAATTCATGAGTAAACCAGGTTTTTTTAAAAAATCTGAAACATTTCGGGGGGGGGTTTGAACCCCTAAAACCACCCCCTCGCTACAGGCCTGTATACACATATAAATACAGAAATACACAAATATATACACACATACACACGCACATGTATATACACATACATTCTGTGTATATGTGTGTGTGTGTATATATATATATATACATACATACACACACATATACACAAATATATACACAGACATAAACACATGTATATACACACAAAACATACACAGACTGGGCCACAGCAACGCGTGGCAGGGGACGGCTAGTATAGGATAAGATGTAATTTCAAATATTGTAGGGCTGAGCAGAAACCATGCCCTGTGCTACTCTCTGAAACCTTTTCTCCAGGTGGGAGAGAATCTCTCACAATGCCTCCAATATCTAACCTGGAGAGCTGGTTTCACAACATACTGCAGCCGATGATATCAAAAGTCCCTGAGAAGTGAGTTTCAACAGAGTCCAACTTTCCCTATTTGTTTGCTCACAGAACACATTTATTGGGGGAACTAAAGCAGGTCAGTAAGCCTGAAACTGGATTGAAATCAATCCAACTATTCAGAGGGGCAGCTGATTGTCTCCCCTGGTTTGTTGCTTCACAGCTCCATTTTCCTGCCATAAACTACAAGAATGCATTCTTGTAGACCACAGCCAATGAAGAAGGGACAATTAATCAGCTGACCACTGTGAAAACAAAAGGGTATACAAGCTGCTTCTTATCCAGAGAGGCTGTTCTTTCACTCCCACCTTCATCGCAAGTGTGACTTGCGGGGATGAGAGAGAGGGCCTTCTCTGTAGTGGCCCCCCGGCTCTGCAACTCACTCCCCAGAGATATTAGGCAAGCCCCCACATTGGCAATTTTCAGGAGGAATCTGAAAACTTGGCTATTTCAATGTGCCTTCAGAGCTCCCATGACCAACAGAAAATACTAGAAGGGTTTGGTGGGCATTGACCTTGGGTTTTGGAGTTGTAGTTCACCTACATGCAGAGAGTACAGATGCATCTGGACCAAACTTGGCACGAATACTCAATATGCCTGAATGTGGACACTGGTGGGGTTTGGGGAAGTTAGACCTTGACATTTGGGAGTTGTAGTTGCTGGGATTTATAGTTCACCTAAAATCAAAGAGCATTCTGAACTCCACCAATGACAGAATTGGGCCAAGCCTCCCACACGGAACCCCCACGGACATCAGAAAATACTGTGTTTTCTAATTGTCTTTGGCGACCCCTCTGACACCCCCTCGCAACCCCCCCAGGGGTCCCGACCCCCAGGTTGAGAAACACTGGTCTACAAAAATTAATTTCTAGTGTTGACTAGTACTTTAGACCCACTAAGAAGGCAACTGACTGCGATATTGAAGACATGTCATAGAAAACCATAAGATATGTGGCCCTCAGTCTTCCTAAATAAGTCCGGTTAGCCTGACATTATAGAGAAGCGAGCTGAGGTTGACTGCAAGGACAAGAAGGTAGACACAATACAGCAGTGCCATATAATGTGCAGGAGCAGTATAGCCCAAACCAAGAGTAGAGAAGGGACAATGGTCGCATCTAAGATGTGATGTCCAGGTCAGAAGACAGAAAGGTGCACAAACGTACTGATCTGCAGATAGTGAATCTTCTCCATTAAATTGTACTTTGGCCATTTCAATGCAAAAAGAGATGTGTATATCTCGGTGTGCGTTACTTTTTCTCTTCATGCCTGATTTTTTTTTGCTCCCAGACTGTTTATAGGAAGATGCAGCTCCTACTGCTACTCCTCACTTGTGTGTGGTCTCATGTAGCCTCACAGCACCGTTTAGTGGAGGATATCTGTGCTGCCAAGCCAAAGGATATCCCAGTAAATCCAATCTGCATCTACCGCAATCCTGAGAAGAAACTACAGGAGGATGCAAGTCCTGGTTCTGATTCAGAGGCAATCCCCGCCTCTACCAACCCTCGTGTCTGGGAGTTGTCCAAGGCCAATTCCCGTTTTGCTGTCGTCTTCTACAAGAACGTGACCAGCTCCAAGAATACCAATGAAAATGTCTTCATGTCACCAATCAGCATCTCTACAGCCTTTGCCATGACTAAGTTGGGGGCCTGTGGCAGCACACTTCAACAGCTCATGACGGTAATGTGGGGATATTTTCTGTTTGTTAGTTAGTTGCATGTCTGTCAACCTCCCGGGGTTCTTAAGGCTAAGTGCCAAAAGTAAAAACAAATAAAAAGACATTTTAAAAGTAGTGAAAAATCCATTTTTAAAACCTTGATTAAAACAACCAGAAAACCTACCCCTGGTATTAAGGACCAAAGGCCATACAAATCAGTTTTAGGTGCCAACTAATTGCTTAAGAGGGTTGGAGACAGCCACACTTGGTTTTGAATGTCCACTCTTGGCAAATAAGTGTTAATTAAGGTCCCTTCCACATAGCTGAACAAAATACCACATTATCTGCTTTGAACTGGAATATATGGCAGTGTGGACTCAGATAACACAGTTGAAAGCAGATGTGGGATTTTCTGTCTTGATGTTCTGAGTTATATGGCTGTGTGGAAGGGCCCTAAGTGATTCCTCCATTCATCTTCTCCAGTTCTATGTGTTTATATCAATTCTGTTTAAAAATGGCACAAGGCTAGGAAGGGGCCTGTGGGCCACAGGGAAGGTCTTTGTGGGACACATCCAGCCCACAGGCCGTATGTTGTGCAAGCATGCTTTAAGCAGTGAATAAGGTCAGCTTCTAAAAATTCTTGACTTCAAACTTTTTTCCAACCGGATTATATATAATATTGGTTTGAAACTGCAGTGTTGATGGGACCCTGTGTGCCTCTCCAAAATAGGGGGGGGGGGGTAGGGCGGGGATCAGACTAGTGTTTTAATTTCAAATTGTGTTGTTTTCTGTTCAAGTTAATTTTTATTTATTTATTTATTTAAAAGTTTTCTATACCGATCTTCTCATCTACAAGAGGGACTCATATCCGGTTCACAACATGTGTTCATATACAAAAATACAAACCACACAATTCATCATCATTACACAATTAAAAACATATTACAATACAACATCGTCATCATCACACTTTCATAGCCACGTCGTCAAAACATTCCTGGTCATAATTCACAGTTATTCATTCTCCTTCCATGTGGACCAAGTTTGATTCAGTTATCAAAGGCCACATTCCATAGCCAAGTCTTTGTTAGCTTCCTGAACATCAGGAGGGAGGGAGCAGTTCTAATCTCCTGTGGGAGGGAGTTCCAAAGCCGGGGAGCCACCATCGAGAAGGCCCTGTCTCTCGTCCCCACCAACCGCGATTGTGACAGTGGTGGGATCGAGAGCAGCCCCCCCCCCCGGAAGATCTTAAAGACCTCGATGGTTCATAGGGGAGAATCCGTTCGGACAGGTAAACAGGGCCAGAGTCGTTTAGGGCTTTGTAGGTCAAAACCAGCACTTTGAATTGTGCTCGGAAGCTAATCGGCAGCCAGTGGAGCTGGCGTAACAGAGGGATTGTATGCTCCCTGTACCCAGCACCCGTTAGAAATCTGGCTGCCGAGCGTTGGACTAGCTGCAGCTTCCGGGCAGTCTTCAGAGGCAGCCCCACGTAGAGAGCGTTGCAGTAATCTAAATGGGATGTAACCAAAGCGTGGACCACCGTGGCCAAGTGGCTGGCTCTGTGTAACTGTATCCATGACTCTACTGTGGTTTTGATTCTTGAGCCCTCAAAATATGTCCCATCTGCCTTGCTGTCTCCTGCTTCAATTAGCCTTTCTCGTGCTCTTCTTCTCCAGGTTTTTAAGTTCGACAGCATTTCAGCCAAGACGTCAGATCAGATCCACTTCTTCTTTGCCAAACTGAACTGCCGGCTTTTCAAGAAAATCAATAAATCCTCAGAACTAGTATGTGCCAACCGACTCTTTGGGGAGAAATCCATTGTTTTCAATGAAACCTACCAAAATATAAGTGAGGTTGTTTATGGAGCTAAACTTTGGCCATTGAATTTCAAGGTGAGCTATAAATATAATGGATTTCTGATGCTAAGAGGTAGGAATAAATTTCAAGTATCTTTAATTGCTGAGGATATTTACTGGTGTAGGCCAATATATTTACAACTGGCACTATGGGCTGACAAGAAAACTATTTTTTAACATAGTCTTTGTCTCTCCATCTAGCTGCCTTTCCTTATCCTCTGGCTAGCTATAAGATTGCTCTTCTTTGTAATACTACTGGGACTGGGAAACTGGTAAAGAACTGGAGGAACCAGGAATCGTATCACAAAGAAAAACATCCTGGCTCTGACACTCTATGCATATGAGTCCCCGCGAGTTTGAAAATATGATTAACTGCCCATTTCTTTGGCATCCCATGGGGACACATATGGGTTGTTGTAGGTTTTTTGGGCTGTATGGCCATGTTCTAGATGCATTCTCTCCTGACATTTCACCTGCATCTATGGCAAGCATCCCCAGAGGTTATGAGGTTGTGAGACGTCATAACCTCTGAGGATGTCTGCCATAGATGCAGGCGAAATGTCAGGAAAGAATGCTTCTAGAACATGGCCAAAATGCCTGAAAAAACCTACAACAACCCAGTGATTCCAGCCATGAAAGCCTTAGACCAGGGTCCTCAAACTTTTTAAACAGAGGGCCAGGTCACAGTCCCTCAAACTGTTAGAGGGCTGGATTATAATTTGAAAGAAAACTTGAATGAATTCCTATGCACATTGCACATATCTTATTTGTAGTGCAACAAACACTGTAAAACAATACAATAATTAAAATGGAGAACAATTTTAACAAATATAAACTTATTAGTATGTCAATGGGAAGTGTGGACCTGCTTTTGGCTGATGAGATAGGATTGTTGATGCTCCTGATACACAAAAAGAATCCAACAAATAAATAAAAGAAAAAGAAAAACCTCTGTCCCACCCACTGTGCTTCAGCAAGGCTGTATGCCCCCCTACAATGTTGCAAGGGTTTTATTAAATACTAGCTGTCCCCTGCCATGCGTTGCTGTGGGCCAGTCTGGTGATCTGGAAAATAAAGTAATGAGAAAGTGTTGGTTTCTTATATATGTAATTTCTTGATGCTTGTGCGTAAACAATGCTTCTTGTCTGTCAGTGTTGATGTACAAATTACTTGGTTTGTCTACTGTGGAACATGCAACATATCATTGTCCTTCTTTAGGAGCTCTTTTCAAATCTAGGATACTATATCTGTCATATACATATGTATGTGTGTATGTGAATCATTATCTATCTATCTATCTATCTATCTATCTATCTATCTATCTATCTATCTATCTATCTATCTATATCTGTGTCTAGATGGCTCTTTGTCAGGAGGGCTATATTAACAGTAGGAAACTGATTCATGTTAGACACTGACCACACACCCCTCCCCATAAGTTTGTGGTGTTGCCTTTGATTCTTTATTGAGAAATAGTCTGTGCAGGAAAAAAAAAATAGAAAAATAAATCTGATAATATAACATTTCATTTATTGGTCAGATATAATTGTCCCGTTGTAGTTTTGGGTGGCATCATGTCCTCTTCTTTTTTTTACATTACAGTATTTGTTTCTTTATTGATACTTGTGAGATTGTGCTGTTGTGTTCCTTCCTGCCTCCATTCCCCACGTTGCCCATTCTTAGGAGAAGCCGGAGTTGTCTCGAGCTATCATTAACAACTGGGTAGCAAATAAAACGGAGGATCTCATCCAGGGAGTCATTCCAGAAGGAGGCATTGACCACAACACGGTTTTGGTGCTCGTCAATACCATCTATTTCAAGGTATGAAAAATACACCTTAGAATCTGAATTGTGAAAGGTGTGAAGTTATTATTTCTGGCTGGTTTATTTATTTTTTAACTAGCCGTCCCCTGCCACGCGTTGAGAACCAGTGATCTAGAACTGCCAAATTAACCCAAACATGTCTGAATACCTTTTTAAGGTCCTACGGCATGGCAATAGCGGTGCCACAGAAACTATTTCTTGCTGCCAATATTGCATCCGCAAAGAATCGTCCAGCTGAGCTATTCCGAGTCGTCAGAGGACTATTAAATCTGCCTAAGTGCGAGATCCCTGACGACGCGGTGGCTCGCTGTGAAGCATTTGCTCGGTTCTTTGCGGATAAAGTTGCGTTAATCCGGTCTGACTTCGACGCCATGTTAACTGCGGTCTCTGAGGATGTAACAAGAACACCTGCTTGTCCGTGTTTAATTTCAATTGGTTCAGCTTGAGGATGTGAACAGGATCCTTGGAGAAGTGAGACCCACCACATGCATCCTAGACCCCTGCCCATCCTGGCTGATAAAAGAAGCCAGAGGGGGATTGGCGGAGTGGGTTAAGGTGGTGGTTAACGCCTCCTTACAGGAAGGAAAATTTCCAGCGAGCTTAAAACAAGCTGTTATAAAACCGCTGTTGAAAAAGCCATCACTGGACCCCACTCGATTTGACAACTATCGGCCAGTATCCAATCTCCCCTTTTTGGGCAAAGTCGTGGAACGTGTGGTGGCAACACAACTCCAGGGATTTCTGGTAGACACTGCTTATCTAGATCCGGCACAGTCTGGCTTTAGGCCGGGACATGGAACTGAGACAGCCTTGGTCACCTTGGTAGATGATCTTCGCCGGGAGCTTGACAGGGGGAGTGTGTCCCTGTTAGTTCTGCTGGACCTCTCAGCGGCCTTTGATACCGTTGACCACGGTATCCTTCTGGGATGCCTCGAGGACATGGGGGTACTGCACTGCAGTGGCTCCGGTCCTTCCTCGAGGGACGGTCTCAGAAGGTGTTACTGGGTGACACCTGTTCTGCCCCACAACCGTTGTCGTGTGGGGTCCCACAGGGATCAATTCTGTCCACGATGTTGTTTAACATCTACATGAAGCCGCTGGGAGAGATCATTCGGAGTTTCGGACTAAGATGTTATCTCTACGCAGATGATGTCCAAATCTGTCACTCCTTCTCACCTGTCACCAAGGAGGCTGTCCAGACCTTGAACCGGTGTTTGGCCACTGTATCGGACTGGATGAGAGCTAACAAATTGAAACTGAATCCAGACAAGACAGAGGTCCTACTGGTCAGTCGTAAGGCCGAACAGGGCATAGGGTTACAGCCTGTGTTAGACGGGGTTACACTCCCCCTGAAGACGCAGGTTCGCAGCTTGCATGTGATCCTGGACTCATCGCTGAGCCTGGAACCCCAGGTCTCAGCGGTGGCTGGGAGAGCATTTGCACAATTAAAACTTGTGCGCCAGCTGCGCCCGTACCTTGGGAAGTCGGATCTGGCCACGGTGGTCCACGCTCTTGTTACATCCCGAATAGATTACTGCAACGCGCTCTACGTGGGGTTGCCTTTGAAGACTGTTCGGGAACTTCAATTAGTCCAACGGGCTGCGGCTAGATTACTCACCGGAGCGTCATACAGGGAACATACCACCCCCCTGCTATGTCAGATCCATTGGCTGCCGATCCAGTTCCGAGCACAATTCAAAGTGCTGGTTTTGACCTACAAAACCCTTTACGGTTCCGGCCCAGCGTACCTGTCCGAACGTATCTCCTTCTACGTCCCACCTCGGAATTTAAGATCTGTTGAGGGGGCCCTGCTCTCAGCCCCACCTTTATCACAAGCGAGACTGGTGGGGACGAGGGACAGGGCCTTCTCGGTGGTGGCCCCTCGCCTGTGGAATGCGCTCCCCGGGGAAATTAGGACATCAACATCCCTCCTCTCCTTCAGGAAGAAGCTAAAAACCTGGATGTGGGATCAGGCGTTCGGGTAAGTTGGCAGATGGACAAAGACAACCAATAATGACCAGAGTAGGAAAGGACAATGACAATGCTAAATGGTTTACGGACTGGATTTGGTGAACACTGACCACAAGATGTTTTTTATTGCTCCTAGCATATTGTTGATTGTTTTAATTAGTGATAACTGTGATTTTATATGGTAAATTTGTGTATTGTATATTCTTTTGTATGTTGTAATTGTTAGGCATCGAATTGTGCCTTTTGTAAGCCGCCCTGAGTCCCCCCTAGGGGGTTGAGAAGGGCAGGGTAGAAGCACCCCAAATAAATAAATAATAAAAACTATGTGAGGTCTCCTGTTCTTGCGCTTCAGCAAATCCTAAATAGGGCATGAGTGACAATTGGACCCAAGTGAGTTGTGCTAGGTAGTCCAGCAGTCTTCAAGTTCTGACTGTTCTGTATTATTTTGATCTATTGCAGGGCCATTGGAAATCCAAGTTCCCCGTTGAAAACACACAGATGGAGCTGTTTTTCAAAACACCGTCAGATTCCTGCCTGGTGCCTACAATGTACCAGGAAGCTTCCTTCCGCTACGCCTCCATCCCAAGTTCCCAAGTGCAGGTTCTGGAGCTCCCCTACAAAGGGGACGATATCACCATGGTGCTTATCCTGCCCTTCCAGCAAACGTCCTTGGCTCAGGTGGAGCAAGAGCTGACAGCAGACAAGTTGGAAGGCTGGCTCAACGCCCTGAAAGAGGCCTCCCCCGCAGTTCATTTGCCCCGGTTCAAGATAGATGACAGCTTCAGCCTAAAGGAGAAACTGGAACAAATGGGATTGAAGGATCTCTTCCGTCCTGGACATGCCAGCCTGCCAGGTCAGTTCTGAAGAATCCTCGTGATTTCTGCTTTAATTCTGGAATTTTCTGTCTCTTTGAAATTATATGCTGAGATTTTTGTACCATGTCTCCAAACACCTTCACTTCTTTTATTAACCCCTTCTATGGCTTTGATATAAAAAGGCCATTCTCTGGTGGACTAGAAATGTGCACAACACATGGGTTTCTGTGGTTTATAGCTCTGTAATACCTACTTGAATGTGACTAACTAATGGCTGAGGAGCCCCTGGTGGTGCAGTGTGTTAAACCCTTGTGCCGGCAGGACTGAAGACCGACAGGTCGCAGATTCGAATCCTGTGAGAGCGTGGATGAGCTCCCTCTGTCAGCTCCAGCTCCCCATGCGGGGACATGAGAGAAGCCTCCCACAAGTTGACAATCACAGTTGACCCTCTGCATCCTCTCCTAGCTCTTCCTGCTCTCCTCAGTGGAAAAATAGTATACCCAGAAGCTTAACCCGTCATCTTTGTCAAGTGCATTTTCTCCATCACCATTTGGCAACCTTCCAGAACATAGTATTTTGCTAGTTTCTGTTAGAGATCTTTGCTTCATGACTAAAGGTTAGTCTTTCCCTTCACAGAATCATTGAGAGATCCCTACATTGCTTTGTCATTTGCTCTTTGCTTTCTTGTAGAAGGCAATTTTCTCATTCTCTATTGTCTTCCTGTCTATCTTTTTCAGGTATAATTGCAGAATCGCAAACAGACCTTTATGTTTCTGAAGCCTTCCACAAAGCCTCCCTCGAGGTAAGTCAGGCCAAAATGGACCCCTTCTCTTTTTGTGTACAAAACTCTTTTTATGTGTCAAGTGAGCTTAAAATACACATAGTCTTAACACTGAGATTTGTGGAAAAAAATATGTCCCTGGTTTGAAGTGTTATTTCCTGTTTAATTGCATGGTATTTACTTTGAATATAGTTGTTATACTCCAGAAACTTTGTTTTTGTGGCTGCCGCAAACCCTGTTGAATTGGTTGAGACTCTAAGACGGTGGTTCTCAACCTTCCTAATGCCGTGACCCCTTAATACAGTTCCTCATGTTTTGGTGACCTCCAACCATAAGATTTTTTTTCATTGCTACTTCATAACTGTAATTTTGCTACCATTATGTGTCATAATATAAATATCTGATACGCAGGATGTATTTTCATATATTGGTCCAAATTTGGCATTTGGGAGTTGTAGCTGATTTTGTCATTTGGGAGTTGTAGTTGCTAGGTTTTATAGTTCAACTTCAACAAAAGAGCATTGTGAACTCCAGTTGACGCAATAACAGAATTGGACCAAACTTGGCACACACAACTCCCATGACCAACAGAAAATACTAGAAAAGTTTGGTGGGCATTGACCTTGAGTTTTGGAGTTGTAGTTCACCTACATCCAGAGAGCACTGTGGACTCAAACAATGATGGATCTGGACCAAACTTGGCACGGATACTCCATATGCCCAAATTTGAACACTGGTGGAATTTGGAGAAAATAGACCTTGACATTTGGGAGTTGTAGTTGGTGGGATTTATAGTTCACCTACAATCAAAGAGCATTCTGAACCCCACCAACGATAGAATTGGGCCAAACTTCCCACACGGAATCCCCATGTCCAACAAAAAATACTGTATTTTCTGATGGTCTTTGGCGACCCCTCTGACACTCCCTCGTGACCCCTCCAGGGGTCCCGACCCCCAGGTTAAGAAATGCTGCTCTAAGAGAAATTTATTAAAAAACTATAGCAAAATATGCTGCAGGGTGTCCTGCAAAATCAAAACATCCAGGCATTCCCTGGGCAACGTCCTTGCAGACGGCCAATTGTCTCACACCAGAAGTGACTTGCAGTTTCTCAAGTCGCTACTGAAACACAAAAAAACCCACAAAAACTAGTACCTAGCAGTGTAGAATCATCCTTGACCTTCCTTCAGTTAGAGCAGCTGATTTCTCCCCCTTTTGACCGTGCCTTTACTAGATAATATATCCTAGAAGTGTTGGAAGAGACCACAAGGGCCAACTACCTCAGGCATTTGGTTTTAGTCCTCTTGTTACTTTCTGAAAAACTATATTAACTGATGGTGATGTTCTCAGGAAGGGAACTTGGTGGCGACCCTTATTCATGTTGGCATCTCCAGTGGTCTCAGTCTTGAAAACATGTAATCTCTGCTGTATTTTGATATATCTTAATCTTTATTCACTTGGCAGGTGAATGAGGAAGGCAGCGAGGCAGCTGCTGCCACAGCGATCATTGTCACGGGCCGTTCATTACGTTTGGACAAACTTGTCTTCCATGCCAACAGACCTTTCATGGTGCTAATACGGGAGGTTGCTCTCAACTCTATCCTCTTCATGGGCAGAGTTTCTGATCCATGCTCTGTTAACCCATCAGTTGATTTGTAATGGTCTCGCCTTCTATTTCTCGGCATCTGTCTAGCTAATAAATGTTCTTCCTTAGAATATTTCGACATGCTACCCTGCTGTAAAATCTCTCTCTCTTATTCCTCTTGTGAACATTTTGTTCCTGTAGGTTATGCAGGCCTGACATTAGAGATAAATGTGTTGCTTTAAGTGAGTTTTTATCTTTGTTTTATTAGTTTTTATTTGCTCATTGCTTCAGGAGCCTTAAATAAATTTTCCTACAGTCCACCCATTACATAATTGCAATGACTGCTCTGCTCTTGGAAAATATCTGGTCTCTTGATCAAATAGATGATTGAAATCAGTAAACTAGTTGGAATTCATTGCATTCATCAAATTAAGATCTCAAATCCCAGTCAAGGGAATATAGGGATGAGGGAATTTTGGTGGGAGTCTAGATTTATCCAGATGTGTACAGTTCACAATACTACTTTCAAAGAAGTGGGTTTGGATCTATGAAAACTCATGCATAAATAAAAACTAGCTAAGTCTTAAAGATGTGGCCACATTCCTTCTTTCACCGTTTCCCTCTTAATCCTGGTCAAAGTGGGCCTTGGTCAAGTGGGTTCAGGTCAAAGTGGGTCCTGGTCAAAGTAGGCCCTGTTCTAGTGATCTCTTGTCAAAGTTGTCCCTGTTCAAGTAGCAACGGTCAAAGTGGGCCCTGGTCTAGTGATCCCTTGGTCAATTGGACTCTGGTCAAAGTGGGCCCTGGTCAAAGTGGACCCTGTGGACCGTGTTCAAGTGGCACCTGGTCAAGTGGTCCCTATTCAAGTGGGCCCTGGTCAAAAAAAGGTTGGAAACAACTGGTTTAAGGGAAGAAGTGTTGGGTAAGACTGCTATCAGACAATGACAAATGAGAGAACTCTCCAGCTTTGGGTATTAAACCATTTAATTCTCAAACCACTCACATGCATAACATTTTTTATACAGTGTTAAAGAGAAAATGCATTTCTTCTAAAATACAAACAGAATTTCAAGTATACATTTATAGAATTTCTTTTTCAGAATCCTAACCAAGTTGCTAAGTTTTCATTCACATTTTTAAAGCTGTTCAATGAGAGTTTTTTTTCTTTCTTTCTTTTGCTAAACTGCTTTAAATATGTTTGTCCATGTCTTCACCTTCACGGTTCTTTGATTTTCCTTTCACCCACACCACAAGACGCACCCATAAAAGTCACCCCTCTCTTGTCTCCCTTTTTCTTTCCCTCCATGAACATGAAGAACACTGGAAACTAAAAGGATGTAACAGACCTAGGTTTTGGAAAAGTTTTTTTTTTGGAAAATCCATTGGGTAGTTCTGCTAACAAACACTTGCAGAAAACCGAATTATATTCCAGCTTGCTCCAAAACTCGTATGAATTCTGTCCTATGCTAACAACAAAGCAAAACCACTGAACATAGTAGTATTATAGGAAGTCTCAGCACTCGTAATGCGAAAGTAATTCTTATAAGTTTCTGATTAATTACCAAAACTTGAAAATTGTACGTCGGATGGCATTTGGTTAGTTTTTAACAGAAAGACATATCGGAAGCAGAGCACTGTTTCTGAAACAGAGCAAAACTATAAATTTAATACAGGGGCTGGTGTTAAACTCCCCAAAATCTGATAGGAGAATTTCCAAGGAGTTTGACCCGTTCTCAACTATCATTTCCTCAAATTCCTACATATTTCACCAAAGTGGGATGAGGTACCATCATGTGGATTATATTACTGAGTATCTATGATGCACAATCCAGATTTTCCATTTCTGCTATTATCTTTCATTTGACCATAGGGACAATATATGGCTACAGCGCATACATGTAGGTGGCAGCCTAGCACTCCCAAGTTTACCTTCTCTCATAGGAAATGTCATTCTGTATCTGTCTTTCCTGTCTGGTAGTATTCAGGATGTTGGCATTCTAGTTTATACTATCTAATACTGACCCAGCCCTCCGTTTCATTTCGCGAGTTATCCTCCAATAAATAAACCCGAAGCACAAAGTCTATAAAGAGGATAGGTCAGTACGTTTTACATTTAGACCATCTCAGTCCCATCAACGTCTAGCTCAGTGGTTCTCAACCTGGGGTCCTCAGATGTTTTTGGCCTTCAACTCCCAGAAATCCTATCAGCTAGTAAACTGGCTGGGATTTCTGGGAGTTGTAGGCCAAAACACCTGCGGACCCACAGGTTGAGAACCACTGGTCTAGCTAAACTTTCCTTAAAAACTAAGATGCTGTGTATACCGCAAATGCTAGCGCCATCGTTCTAACACAGCATGCCAACCATCCAGGTGTCATAAGTCTTGAGTTAAAATGAGTGGTGCCTTGACACAGTGTTTGGATGTGTTGCCTCCAAGGATTCAAGAAACAACAATGATACACCAATGTTGACAATGTCCATTAGTCTTCCATCTAGGTCAAATCCTTCCAAATGTAACACCTACCAACAGCCATGGAGTTTAAAGTGCATATGGGGGAAAGGAGGGGGGGATTCAGGGTGCTTAAAATAATTGACTTAAAGTGCCATATTACTTTAAAAAATGATTTTCGATATATAATACAAGTTGTTTTAGTTAAGGTTATGGAGGAAAAAACACGTCTACCTGTCCTAGTATTGGTCAGCTTCACAGCGTTGTATATGTATAGGTCTATCTACCAGTGGGTTACTCGTTCCTTGGGAGTGCTTATCTGCTAGCAATGGATTGCTCCAAGTATTTCACATCCAGTCCAGGGATTAAAAATGGGACTAAAACAACGCCTTGCCTTGTTTACTTCACAAGAGTCCTTAGCAGATATTTTCTGTGGCACTGTTTCATAAACCTCAAAACATCTCCAAAAAGTTCCTATAAGCAATGATGTGTGACAAAGAAATATAAGTTAATGGTCTTCAGCGTGGTCTCTGTGAAATCGCACATATGGATGTGCGGATTTCACAGATGACCACTCGAAGAAACATAGTTACAGGTAAGCAACCCTTTCTTCTTCAGCATGGTCTCTGTGAAATCCGCACATCCATATGTGCGAATTTAACAGATGACCACTCGAAGAAATATGGTGACAGGTAAACAACCCTTTCTTCTTCAGTGTGGTCTCTGTGAAATCTGCACAGCCATATGTGCGAATTTAACAGATGACCACTGGAAGAAACATGGTTACAGGTAAGCAAACCTGTCTTCTTCAGTGTGGTCTCTGTGAAATCCGCACATCCACATGTTCAAATTTAACAGATGACCACTCGAAGAAACATGGTGACAGGTAAGCAACCCTTTCTTCTTCAGCGTGATCTTTGTGAAATCCACACATCCACATATTCAAATTTAACAGATGACCACTCGAAGAAACATGGTGACAGGTAAGCAACCCTTTCTTCTTCAGTGTGGTCTCTGTGAAATCCGCACATCCATATGTGCGAATTTCACAGGTGACCACTCGAAGAAACATGGTGACAGGTAAACAACCCTTTCTTCTTTGGTATGGTCTCTGTGAAATCCGCACATTCATATGTGCAAATTTAACAGATGACCACTCAAAGAAACATAGTGACAAGTAAGCAACCCTTTCTTCTTCAACGTGGTCACTGTGAAATCCGCACATTCATATGTGCGAATTTAACAGATGACCACTTGAAGAAACATAGTTACAGGTAAACAACCATTTCTTCTTCAGCGTGGTCTCTGTGAAATCGTACATATCGATGTGTTAATTTAATAGATGACCACTTGAAGAAACATGGTTACAGGTAAACAACCCTTTCTTCAGAGACAAGAGCTTCTCTGTGACTTAGAAGTCCAATCTCGTGTTGGTGTGCTTATCCTTCTGGAAACGTTCAGACTCATTTTACATTTGTAAGCATTTAATTTACCCACAGAAATCTCATGTATATACTGAATATGGAAACACTGGTATAAACCTGACCAGCGTAAGCAGGATCCCCAAGGAGAGGGACTAGTTATGTGTCAATGGCCAGTATTAAAACCTTCTGAAGAACCATTGAGAAATACTATTGTCAACAAATTCAAAATCGTGAAATGAAACTTTCCTATCCAGCTTCCACCTGCATTATCCGATCACCCAACCCTTTGGAGAAGTTTGTATATAAAAGTCTTGAAAAAACTAATGCACGCTTACAAAATTGAATTTAACAATCTGAATTTTTTGCATCCAAAGGTTGATTTCCAAGAGAACTTATGCTGAACATACAAAACTAGCAAATGGAAAAAAGAGATTATGTTTCTATGTGCCTTTGAGTCACCAACCAGTCGTGACCCATGAATTTCATAGGCTTTTCTTAGATAAAAAATAAGAAAAACGTTTTTGGCAATTTCTTCCTCTGAAATATAATCTACTGCATCTTGTATTCATTGCTAGTTATGTATAACAGAATAATAGCACCAGAGTCCTCTTGCTGAGTAGATATATATTTTAAATGCCCATGGGTTACGAAAAGTTGTTTAAAATCCGACTTCCGAAGGAAAGAGTGAAACGTTATCAAAATACACAATTACCACACAGGCCGGCCTCCCCATCTCCTTAAAAATGTGAAGTCTACAGTTTTCAAAAAACACACAAGAGGGTATTTTTATTTGTAGATTGGCCTATAATGGCTATTTTGTGTGGAATATGGATCTGTATAAAGGCTGCTACGGAGAGGGTTTTGCAGTCGTTTCTCCTAGTTATTTGTACTAGATCTACTGGGAAAGGCTTAAACGCCATAACAAGTCTCTATGCAGCTCCCTTTTCACTGTCCCTATCTAAGGAACTATCCTCCCTTGAACCTGATTGTGACTTTGGGACACAAATCACCAAAGCAGTTAATATGTAACTACCATAGTTATGTAACGACATGGTGTTTCCTGGCCCATCTCCATTTCACTGGGCAGCAGTGGCTTCAAGCAACAGGGATCTGTTCCTCTGTTGGTCGAGAATCTCCCAAGCACAATCTCCAATGTAATAGCCAGAGGCAGGGTCACTGCTGCAAATCCCTTTCGCATCAGAGATTGCTCACACAAGAAGAAACACATAGGGATCATGAGTTCAAACCACTCTTAATTACTTATTTGTAACTGACTTCATGAATTATTATTTATTGAAATTAACAAACAGCACTGCAAAACCATTTTGAACTTTTAAAATATACTTCTAATGTTCTTCAAGATTCTTCCTCATTTTCAGGGCTCTAGTAAAAGCGCACCTTGTTTTCATTATGCATTGTACTTCCTTTTAATATGTGTAAATGGATTTCAGTCCTCGTCTTTTTGGCAAAAATCACCAGTTGATTGGACCCCCCCCCCCCCCAGTGGCGCAATGGGTTAAAACCTTGTGCCAGCAGGACAGCTGATCGAAAGGGGAACGGGGTGAGCTCCCATCTATCAGCTCCAGCTTCCCATGCATGAGAGAAGCTTCCCACAGGATGGTAAAACATCCGGGTGTCTCCTGGGTAACGTCCTTGCAGACGGCCAATTCTCTCACACCAGAGGCGACTTGCAGTTTCTCAAGTCACTCCTGACACACAC